GCTGGGGATGGGCAGGAAGGGCAGTGTGACAACTGCTGGATGAGGGTGGAGGATCCTAAAAGGAGAGGCAAGGGCTCCTGTTTAGACTTTATTTGAAGCACTGATAAGGATTTTATATTTAGTGTTTGATGGGAAACCACTGGAGTTTAAAACAACTCAAAAACTTTATTTTGAAATAATATTAGGTGTGCAGAGAATTTGCAAATGCAGTAGAGTGCCCATATACTCTTCAGTGTTAACATCTTGCATCACCACTACAGGAATCAAATTGCTTCAAGGTAGAGTTCTGGATGCCTTAAGATGCCTATTCTGCCATTGTTACGCGTGTAAACAGAAAACAACAGAAGTGCAGAGATAGTTGAGCTGAGAGAGATAATTAGGTAGAAGCTGGGACAGTTTTATGAGAAATCTCAGTACTCTTTTATTTAAGTAAGCCTGATTTGGATACTAAGAAAATGGACAGAGCTTTTCCTGAAACTGGGCTTCTGTATTTGTTTTTTTTCTAAGAGGAACAAGATAGTAGTATAATTAGATGCAGAAAAATAATTTATTAAGCCAAAACAGTTTTAGTTGGGAAAATAATCATTGAAATGGGTAAATAAAAATCTCTAGCTAAGTCAGGGGATTTTTAGCTCAGTGGCGTCGCCACCTGCCTTGCCAAGTGCAAGGTCCTGAGTTTGATTCCCAGTACCAGAAAAAAATCTCTAGCTAGATTCTTCCTGTGTTGAAAGACAGTGAGTTACCTCTGTTAGACATCGGTTCCTTATAATTTGCCAATCCCTTTATTTTATTTTTTGGGTACTGGGGATTGAACTCAGGAGTTTATCCTTGCAAGGCAGGCCGTAGAACCACTGAGCTAAATCCCCCACCCAGTCCCTTTATTTTAAAAGAATGACAGTAAGTACTAAATTTCAATCAGTGTTTAGGTAATTATCTTTATGTGGAAACCCCTTCTTAACTGCACAAAGATTAATTACGAAGATTTATCAAAAATCTTCAAACAAATCTAAAAGATTTAGCAAAAATATGATCTTTATAGTTTGAATGCTTGTTTACCCTCTTTATTTTCAGATTTTACTTAAATATAAAGATCCCTAGCTAGAGATCATAATGTAAATGTACAGATATTTTGCCAAAATACTGAATCCACCAAAACAAATTTTACACACTCTAGGAAAGAAAAACTTACATAAATATTTTAATACTAAATTTATTGAGACATCGTGAGATTAAGACAAGTTACATTTGTCCTATACAATCATAGGTGCTCAAACTGATAACCATTAGCTCTCAGACATTTATTAGTACAGCAAACTGCTGCTTGGGTAACCCTGGTCATTGGGTTGCTGCCTTACATTTTCAGTTTCTTCTCCAAAGACCAGCAGTGTAGTGGGTTTTCTGCGATATATGGCATTCTCTAGGGTTCCCCATACGAGGGTAATACCACCTGTGGAAAAAACATTTACACTGTTTTTCTTTTCCTGAAGTGTGTATACTTTTTTGGGCAGACTTTGTATATATCACATGAATATACTCCCCCTGCCGCCCGACCAAACCAGGAGTCAAAATAAATTTTTATTCAAAATACTACAGTTTCTAATATTCTCTTGTATAACATCAGTTTATTACTGATGTTTATTTTTAAGCCATCTCCTGCTTTTTGTATAGTAAAAATCAAGGAAGTGTTGAATTAAGGACACTTTAATTCTGGATGTTGAATCTGAGGTTAACACTGGTTGGTAGTATCTACTCTGTGTTACCTCACGGACTAAAATGTATGTTTTTCTTTTGTAGTTGAAGCCTGAGTCATAGTTCACCTCTTTTTTTTGGTACCAGAGAAATTGAACACTCGGGTCCTTGCACTTGTGAGCAGACAGTGGAACCATTAAGCTAAATCCCTGGCCTGGTTGACCTCTTATATATGGGGCTTTATGGGAACCTTATTGTACCTGTTGATAGAGATATTGTGAGGATTGAGTTATTTGTAAAATGTTTGGAACAATGCCTAACACATATCTGCATTTATTAGAAGTACCAGGAGTGGTGTTAAGATTATTTGAAATTGATTTATGTTTGCTTATTTTGAAGAAGTGGTCTGCATGCTTTCTTCATTTTTCACCTCACATTTAACACAATTTCTGGGTACTAGGCATAGTTGGATGTTTCCATGTACATTGCTTTGGTTAACTGTCCGTATACATCAGCCCCCATTTAATGTTGAGGGTATTTAGTCTCTGAGATGTTAAATTACTTAGCCATGATTACACTGTAAGAGGTAAACTTTCTGGCGTTACTTTTTTTTTTTTTTTTTCTCTCTTTTTTGGTACTGGGGATTGAACTCCGGTCCTTGTGCTTGCAAGGCAGGCCACCGAACAGCTGAGCTAAATCCCCGGCCCATTCTGGCGTTACTTACTAAAACATTCTACCTGACAGACGTATAAATGTCTTATCTTTTAAGTTTGCATTATAATTCCTTTATGTTAGATACTTCTTTGTGTACAGAGCTGTGTAATATGGACTGGGAAAATTAAAAACTCAAATCTTAATAGTGTTGGACATAGCTGTGATAAGATAGAAGGTGAGAGCTGTTGTTAGAAATTATACTCATTAAGAAAGAGGAGATAAAGGAAATGTTTTTTCCCTATTCAGGGAAAAAGTACATATAGTATGTAATTTCTTGAAAATAGAGTTAGCATTTAAACTGAATAGTTTAGGAGTAGTAGGATTTGGATATGTGTAAGTGGGATTTTGGCACTATAACGGGAATAGTAGGAATGAAAAAATATTCAATAATAAATAGTTTATATACTACATAGTGTGTGAATAGATGAAGGAGAAATTTAGATGAGAAAGTAAATTAGATTGAGAGTGCTTTTAAAGCTTGATTGACTATTTTCAATTTAGACACCTAGTAATTGTTTAGTAAATGTAGCCAATATAGAACCTACTAATATATGGTGTAGGGGAAAATAAAATTAGAAATTTAGACTACATTGAGATTTTATTAGTAAAGGGGAGATGACAGACATGTAGAATAGTAGAACACATCTTTAGAGGAAAGAAGAGATTTCCAGTCTTTGCTGTTATTTGTATTTCAGCAGTGCTTTTAAGTTTTGTTAGTGACATGTTCTTAGTATATAAAATGAAGGTTATATAAAAACCTAAGATGACCGTGTCATTAATTTACTAGACGGGACACTGATGTTGAAGGGGGCATGGGATACTGTTAATTACCCTAGAAGGCAACTGAAATAAATTGTTACTAGTAAGCCAGTAGCAACTGGATTTTACTCTTTGTATCTTTTATGAATCTACTTTTACCTTGAAACTCAAATTTTAAGAACTACAGAGCAGAAAAAATGATTATTACGGCAATCATAAATGTTTAGTGTTGAACAAGGTAGTGTTGTTGAACAAAATAGTGTAATAGATTTTTAAAAATCAGTATTCACTTGATATTGCTAGAGTGGTAATAATTAAAATTATGCATGAAACATGTTCCTTCTCAGTTTTATTTTCTGATGCCTAACCATTGGGGCAGTGAAGTCTTGCCAGGTTGAACTTTCTCATGCTCGGTCTCAGGCTAACTGTAAAGTTTGTATAAAATTCTGTTTATTCATATTTGAGTTAAGCATGAAGAAAAGCACTTACATCTTTAAAAATTGAAATTGTTTTGTGATAAATGACTGCAAGAAAAAAACAGGGTTATTTCATATGTAGCTTCTCATAGAATCAGTAACATATCCTTTACACAAGTATATCTGAATTTCGCTGATATTATGGGGAGAAATAAGATACTTCATTTAAATGTCTTTGGGGGCTAAAGTATTGGTTGTTTACCTTGTAATAATTGAGTGTACCAGACTGCTGTGCTTGCTGTTTTAAGTTGGTGTCTTATTGTTTTTAAAGAATCTTTTCCAGATGTTAGATTTACTGCTGTATATTTTCTGACTTATCATCATGGTTGAGTATAATTACGTGTGGAGGCCTTTCTGCTCCCCTGTACCGTGTACTGGTATTAATAGTTATATGAAGGCCTCAGAATTATCTGGGCTTTGTAGCAAGTTTGACACTTTCTCATATTGTCTGGTTTTCTCGGGTTTCGGATAAGTGCTTCTCAGACATTCTTGTATTTAGATCACCTGGATATATCTTGTTTAAAAGGCAGGTTAATCAGAGGTGGGTGGGAAATTTGGCTTTTCTAACAAGATCCTAAATGATGTGCGATCTGCTGTTCAGTAGGCCACACTCGGAATCTCAGAGTTCTGGATGGTTTGTTGGAACTTTGGCAGTGCTATTACTACAGGGCCTTAAATATGACTAAATTCTTTCAGAAATTACATTAGTAGTTTATTTTAAAAGAAATATTAGGGATTATAAATTTAATACTGTAGTTGATTGAAATATTTGTCTTTCACATTTTCCTCTTTCATGTCTTGACTCTATTTTTGCTTCTTTCTCATTTGTTTTTGTTGTTGTGGTTTTTGCTTTTGTTTAATAGATTATTGTGTTTTGTGGATCTGGTTAGGGGACCGTTACTGTATTTTATGTTTGTATCTACATTTTATTTTGCATGCGTAACGTGGCTTTGCCTGGATGTTCTTTTTGGTAAGTTCCAAATTTATATAGCATATTGTTTTTTGTAGTGTAAGTTGTAATGTTTCACTTTCTTTTCTCCCATTTCTAGTAATGTGATCATGCTCATGATTTGTTTTTTTTTAAAGAGTTCATTTGATAATTGTTTTTTTCCTAACATTTTCCAATTTTCCTTAATAGCGCAATTTGGTACTAATCTGCTTTGATTTGTTTTATAGCCTTACGCTCTCAGTTGCTGATCACTTAGCACTTGCTCTCTCAAGTATTTTGGTTTAAAAAAGCCTTTATCATTTAGAAATATTCTAAAAGCTTATGCTTCCATATAGCAATCATTAAAGAAGATAGTTGTAGTGAACTTGAATAATTCTGTTCTCTGAAAATACATTTTAATTTTGTTTTTACAGCAACAGCTTGCACAACTACAGAAAGAAAAATCAGAGATTCTGAAAAATCTGGCATTATATTACTTCACATTTGTAGATGTTATGGAATTTAAGGTAGGTATTCCAGTTTATGATACTTAATGGTTCAGAAGCAGATTTAATATTTGTTAATTATATAATTTGCTTTTTCACTTAAACATAATAATATTGGAATTTATCCATAACTGAAATCTAAAATATGATGTTATTAATTTTATTAATTTAAAATTATTTATACAGGGCTGGGGAACATAAGCCCTTGTCTGGCATAAGTTCAACTCCTGGTTCAGTCTATAGCACCAGAAAAAAAAATTATATGAATAGTGTATTAAAATAAGTTCCTTTTCAGGACCATGTTTGTGAATTGCTGAATACCATTGATGTTTGCCAAGTCTTCTTTGATATTGTAAGTATCATTTTCAGAAAAATTCTAATTCTCTTCTGTTCTCAAAAGAACTCAGGACCAATTGCTCTTCTTGAGAGCAGATTTATAAAACTAGTGTGTAAGGTTTTACTATTGTTAATTTGACTTGTGGAGTAGTTTTTACAAAAAGTAAAAATTCATACTGTATTTTGTATCATCACCAAGTCTTGTACCTATTGAGAAATACTTGTCAATTTTAGTATCTTATCTTAGTATGCCCAATTTTTAGTAAAGTGGCTAATAGTTATTTCTATAATAGGGATACTTAATAGAATTTTTCTTAGTATGACAATTTGTAGATACAGGAATTCAAGGTGAGAAATGCCTATGTGACTTAATGGTGAAAACTTTCATTTTTAGTACTCCTCTTGGTGAGACTGGTACAGATGTTTATTATTCTGGGTTTTTGTTCTTTTAAGTTGTTGCCAGTTTAAATACAGTGGTCACAAGTTCTTTTGCTTTTTTCCACGGAACTGTGGAACAGACACAAAACTTATTGTAACTTCTAAATTTTGAATATTTTTTAGTGAAAGGAATTAGAATTACAAAAATGGAAATTAAAAATTATATGAACAGAATATTAAAATAACTAGAAAATTAATGGTTTTTAATAGCTGCTATGAAAATCTTGGTATCTAAAATTTTGACAAATAGGAAGGAGTTGAATTTGATTTTTTTTCTAGACTGTGAACTTTGATTTAACAAAGAACTACTTAGATTTGATTATAACCTACACAACATTAATGATACTGTTGTCTCGAATTGAAGAAAGGAAGGCAATCATTGGATTATACAACTATGCTCATGAAATGACCCATGGAGCAAGGTAGTCCAGTATTGTAAAATTTTTTCTAAAATTTTCAGTTTCGTGGCTTATAACTCATTGAAATTCTATGTATCTGTTTCAAGTGACCGAGAATACCCACGTCTTGGTCAGATGATTGTGGATTATGAAAACCCTTTAAAAAAGATGATGGAAGAATTTGTACCCCATAGCAAGGTAAGCACTTGATTTTAGATGTGCCATAATAGGTATAAGTGATCACTTAAGCATGGATAAAAATTATACTGAGTTATGAATGAGAGCTGTTTGTGGTTTTGTCTGATTATGAACCAGAGAGCCAGTTAGTGAGATTCACAGTAGTGTGTAGAGATTCAGGAAAATGTTGATTCATTATAGTTTTTCGTTTCAGTCTAGTACAAAGAGGTAATAGAGTGTAGAGTACAGTATTTGAGATGTCTAATGCCATTACCATTCTCCTTCTGTGTTAGCTTTTAGTTGCTGGGACATAATGTCTGATTTACACACTTTAAAGGAGGAAAAGGTTTATTTTGGCTTATGGTTTCAGAGGTTTCAGCTTATGGTCAGCTGGCTCTGTGGCAGAAACATCATGAAGAAAGGATGTGGTGGATGAAAGCTGCTCAACTCATGGGAAGCAGAGAGCAGGGGAAGAGCCAGAGAAGAACTGACCGGAACCAGGTCACACCCCATGACCTGACCAGACATACCCAAAAGTGTGCTTTACTGATCTCCTGTGTGTTTCTCAAGCCAAGCGACTTGACGATTAAGATTAACCATCACACGCTGGGAGTGGTGGTGCACCCCTGTAATCCTAGCACTTGGGAGGCTGAGGCAGGAGGATCACTGTGAGTTCGAGACCAGCCTGGGCTGCATAGTGAGTTCCAGGTCAGTTTCAACTACATAGTGAGACCCTGTCTTAAAAAACCGAAAAAAAAAAGAAAGAAAAGAAAAAAAGATTAACCATCACAGGGCCAGGGATTTAGTTCAGTGGTGCTGTCGAAGGACCCGAGTTCAATCCATGGTACCAAAAAAAAAAAAGAAAAAGAAAAAAAAGATTAACCATCACATCCTAGATTGTGATCTCAGTTCTGCCACTTGCTAACTTTGTGGTTCTAAGTAAGTTACTTAACCATACTCACTGTACTTCAGTTTCCTTTTTGGTATAAGTGATACTTATCCCATTTAGTTGTTAGGAAGATGAAATGAATTACTTAAGTGGATACATAACATATGATCATTTTTAGCTATATTATAGTCTTAGAAAAAAAATGACAGTTTTGTGAAAATAACTGGAAATGTCTATCTCTTGAGGTATATTAAAAATAGTTCTTTTTTTGTTGTTGTACCGGGGATCGAAAAATAGTCCTTAATTAATATTGGCTATAAGGAATATTAACATGTATGAAAATAAAAAATACCAAAAAAAGAGTCTTAACATTGTGGCTTGTCTGAAATAGGGCTAGTTTGAGGAGCTGTAGGTTAAGTGCTTCAGGGAAATGTTTAGGTATCTTCCCCAGCCTTATCATTTTAAATCACTGTGGACTGGAGAAGTATCATGACAAGGTAAAACCTTTTGGGAGCAATAGTGCCAAAACCAGAATTGAAATCCAGAGTGTTAAATCATAATCTGTTGTTTTTGATGGACAAGGATTAGACTTTTCAATAACAATGCTCATATAAATTATACTTTTTCTTGACATACAGTTAATACCAACTGTTTTTGTTTGCTTTTCTTTCTCTTGAAAAATTTTGATACTTGTCCAATTTAATTTCTTAGCTTAGTTGTACTATATAGATTGAATGTCCTTAACCTGAAAACCCAAAATGTCCAAAATTCAAAACTTGTTAGCCCTGAAATGTCAGAAGTGGAAAATTACACCACCTGACTTTGTGTTAGGGGTTACAGTGAAAATACCGGCTTGTTAAAAACATTGTACAAAATTACTCTCAGGTTATATGTATAAGGTTTACATGAAACTGAATTTTTGTTTGGTTTTGGATCTCATATTTCATTATTTATATGCACATATCCAAAATCCAAAAAAATCTGAAGCTCTTCTGATACCAGGGATTTTTGTTAATAGGTATTCAATATCTACAAATTTGTTGAATTTTTTTTTTTTTTTTTTCGGTCTTGGAGTCTGTTGAGTCAATATTTGAAAAGAACCTAGTGGATTATAACACTTTGAAAATAGAGTACATCAGCATTGTGGATAGAGTTGTCAAGATTTGTCAGATGTCCACCATACCACTGTCCCACAACTCTGAGTTTGATAGTGATTTTTTTTTTAACCCAGTGCTCTCTTTCCCACTCTGCTTTTCTCTTTGGATCCTTTTCTTGTTTTTCCTAGTCATGGCCTTATTTTTATTTACCCTCTTCAGATTTGTTTTTATTTATTTATACTTAGGTGCTAAAAACTTTCTTAAAGGCTCTTGTAATTTTTAAAAATTCTTTGATCATTAGCACACGGTTTAGCATATGGTGGATTATTAATAATATTTAGGAGAATTGTTCATTTGAATCAAATCAGTTATTTCTTGATCTTGATTTTTCTGATGTTACATGTTAACCTCAGTGTTTTCATAGAGGGGCTATTATTCATCTACTAGGATTTTTTAAATTAATTGACATTTTTTAAAAGCACTCTTAGTTGACTACTTCAGAATCATTTGACAGATCTTAATAAGATTATAGATTCTGGGATTCTACAACCAGAGGTTCAGATTGACTGAATTTAAATAGAGCACTGGATTCTCTGAGTGAATTTGCCTGGCAGTTTATATGTGGTCAGATTAAAGAATCTTTAGGATTTTTGGAAGCAAGGTTCCATTGTAAGGCCAGTTAAAAAAGCAACAGACAAAAGATATGAATATTAAATACCTGATGATAAAGCTGTAAATAACAAATCAAGTCTCAGTCAGGTAATTTATTACGAAAGAAAATAGATTATTGTTATAAGGTACTTTTTGGCGAAATAGAAAACATGTCAAGCTTTCTCACCTTGTTCACCCTGAGGCTGTAATTAGTGTTGAGATTGCCAAATCCTAACCTCTGGACCTCCAGGGAGGTGCTTGTAATTCATGTTGCTTGCTGCCAAGAGTCTCAATTTGAATATGCTGTGTTCCTGCCAGCTTGAACCACCGGTGGTACATGCATGACCGGACCATGGGACAGTCATGCATGTGCCACCAATGGTTCAGGTTATCTCATAAGACAGTTTTGCATGTACCACTGGTGGTTCAAGCCAGCAGGAACATGTTGACACTTGGTCGTACAGCCCTAAAGTCTTTTTTTTTGTAAGAACTGTCAGAAAAGAAACTTAACATTACATGAAAGGATGACAGTTGATCTCTACCCCTTTTGAAATAAAGATCCCCGTGTTGCTGCACCTTTTAACCTTTAAGAAAGTAACATTATTTCTTCAGCAAAGCTCTTGTCCAGGAATGGATAATCTATGTAGCTTTTGTAGAATTTTTAAAGAAGTCTAAAGGTGTGATCCATCTTATACAGGAAGCACAGTTGTAATTAGTTTGTCTTGATTTGTAATGTTACAGTACAGTGAACCGTTGTAGCTGGAATGTAAATGGAAAGAAAAAGGTAATTAGTCCTTACCTTTGTTTTTCTTGTTTTAGTCTCTTTCAGATGCACTCATCTCTCTCCAGATGGTCTATCCTCGTAGGAATCTTTCAGCGGATCAGTGGAGAAATGCCCAGTTACTGAGCCTCATCAGTGCACCCAGTACAATGCTTAATCCAGCACAGTCTGACACTGTATGGTTTTGTCGCTCCCTTTTTGAATGAAAATATGTGACTTTTTAAAAAATAACTTAAGTAGTGTTGCTGCAGTGTTTTCTGTTAACTCAGTGTCATATTTTCATTTTTGATGTCAAAAAAACATCAAATTAATTTGACTAATAATACAAGTATTTTTTGCTTTAAAGTTTTAAAAGATTGTTTTATCTTACCATGGCAAAAAAGTTAGAACATGTAGAAAAGTATAAAGAAAAAAAATCACCTCAGTTATTACCAACTAAAGCAAATCATTATTCTATCTTTGTGTGTATGAGCATAGATGTTACGGAGAAAGCACACATGGCTAACTGACTTCTGGGGAGACAGTGAGTGTCCAAGGACATAAATGTTTTTTTTTTTTTTTCACTTGAATAAAATTTTATACTTTGGAATAATGTAAACTCTGAAATAGATTTAAAAATTTGAAAATTGTCATTTGCTACACTGAAGACAGTTTACTAACAGTGTGTTTTAAAGAGAGAATTGAAGGTATATACATCTGGACTGCTCTTATTGTCCTTTATTAACTGCAGTTTTAAATATGTTAGAAAATTTTTATCCAACTTTTCAAATTTGTTGTGGTATTTGAGCCAAGAATTGAATATTAAGAATTGTTAGGAAGCTGGTCATGGTAGCAAACTCCTGTAATCCCAACAGTCTGGGAGGCTAAAGCAGGAGGATCCCAAGTTTGAGCCCAGCCCTGGAAATTTAGCTAAAGTTTAGTGAGGCCCTGTCTCAAAATAAAAAATAAAAACATCTGAGGATACAACTCAATGTGATTGCCTTTGGTTAAGTCCTTGGTACTAAAAAACAAAAACTTTTGAGTATGTGGAAAGTGTTCAATATGGAATATTTTAAAGAATTCCTTTTAACTACGAATGTACATATTCTTTTTCAGATGCCTTGTGAATATCTCTCTTTGGATGCAATGGAGAAATGGATTATCTGTAAGTAAAATGGGTTAGTTTGGGATTACTTCTCAGGTTTTAGAGAAAAATAACATAACATGCCCCTTTTGTTGGTGGGGGGGGTACAGGGGTCAAACTTAGGACCTTGAGTTTGCAAGGCAGATGTGGTGCCACTGAACTAAATCCCCAGCTGGGTAATGTGTCTTAATTCTGTCTTTGTACTATGCTATATGCTAACCCTATATTATAGATGAGGGATCTAAAAGCTTAGACCACACAGCTAGCCAGTCACAAAGCAGATAAGAATTCACACTAACTTAAGGCTCATGAGCTATGTACATTATATTGTCTTTTGAATATTTTCTGTGCGGTTTTTTTATTTTTAAAAATGTCACTTGTATTTAGTTAAGGTTTTTGGTTTTAATTTATTACCTCTAATGACTCATGGCAATTTGGTAGATGGGGGATACAATTACTATTTTCTGTACCTAGGAAACTTAAACTATAGGGAAAATATGTACAGAAGTATAATACAAAGCAAGAATTGTTACTATATAGTTAACATTTCTTTTCCTATCCCTAAGCTCCTGCCAGAGAGGAATAATTTTGAATAGTTTGTGTTTTTTAGTTTTTACACTATTTGTTTCTTGGTTTATTAACTTGTATCTAGAATTTGTTCATTTGTTTGTTTCATTGTAGTGTTTCTCCAGTTATGGTGAAGGACTAGTTTTTCTTCTTTTTCTTTTTTAATTTTTTTATTGGCATTTTAGTAAAATAATGAATATGAATCACTAGAATTCCCAGAAGAATGAAATAGTAAACAAAGACAAAATAAAGGTCATAGTTTTAATTATTAGATTCAGCTTAATCTGCCAACTAGATTATTAGGTTTCTGCTTAGGATTCATTGTCCAATTTTATGAAAAATTCTAAATACTTTTAGTTTGTATACTTAATCACATTATGAATTGGCACCTTGAGTAGCACTGTTGTTAGTATGAAAGAAGTAATTAACTTCATATACTACCTGCCCTTAGCCATTTTATTAAACATATTATTATTTACCTTAACTGGATGTGATATTTTTTACTTTGATCTGATTTGTGTTACCTGATTAAAAATAACACAATATAACATTTCACTAAGTACTGGTTTTGTTTAAATGTGTGGTAATTCTTAGTTTTGCTTGATTAATTGAATTAGTTGTCATGGATAATCTTTGGCACTGTATGGGATTAGTTCTTTACATTCTTTACCTTAAATGAGAAAACTGATTTGAAGGCTTTTGTAATGAGCAGAGAAAGAATTAGGAAGCTGACTATCCTAATTGAGACTATGTGGGCATGGACAAGGCCTTCAGATTCAGGGTAACCACGTTTGCCAAGGTAAAGAATATTTACTCTCTTGAATTTTGCTGTCTGCATAGACTGGAACATTGAGTAGAGCTAATGTAAAGGGTAAGCATTATCTCAAACCCCTTAGCACCAGTACCCATACAAGGGGCTTTTTCTTCTGAAGATATTCTACTTTCTTTGTGGCTTTGATCTTGTTTAGTTTGTAGTGGTCCCTGGACCAGCAGCAGCATTTGCAAACCTTAGATATGCAGAATCTTGATCCCTATCCCTACTGAATCAGTAATCTATGATTTAATAAACCTGTATAGATGATTCTAATGCAAGCTAAATTTGAGAATCACTGTTCTAGGTTATAGCCTGTTGGCAAGATTTATAGAGGGCATAGAATGCTGTGAATCTAATTAGTAGAAATTCAAATATAGTACCAATTAAGGTGTACTCTTTTCACTGTACTCTTGCTCTGTTAGTTGAAGTTGGGTGACTCCTTGAGAAAGATCTATGTATGTCTGGAATATGGGATCAGCAATTCCTGCCTGTTTTAAAAAAAATTGATGGTCCAATTTTATTTTCTGGCTCTTTTTTTTTTTTTTTTTTTTTTTTTTTTTTTGGTCCTGGGGATTGAACTCGGGACCTTGCGCTTGCAAGGCAGGCAGCAGGACCACTGAGCTGAATCCCCAGCCCTCCAATTTTATTTTCTATCTTTACGGATTTAATCCACCTTTGTCTACTCTTGGTGTTGTTTTGTTTGCTTTTTTTTTTTGAGCCATTAGGACTCAGTAGAGCAAAATTAATGTGTAGTTTAATTAATAAATGATGCCCAGTCTGAATTCATTTTCCCTTTTTGATCCTATTGTAAACAAATGAATATGCTTTCACTTATAATCTATATCTTTAAAAACACTAACCTATAATTGGTAACATTTTCAGAGAACCTTTTACTGTCGGTACTGGTATTTTATAAATTGAAGTTTAGTCATCCCTTCATATACATGGGTTCTGTATCTATGGATTGAACAACTTATAGATTGAAAATATTTGAAAAAAGTTCCATTTGTACTGAGCATGTAGAGACCTTTTTGTTATTATTCCTTAATGGAATATAAAAAGTTTTTATAGCATTACATTAGGTATATATGAGTAATCCAGAGATGGCTTAAAGTAACAGGAGGATGTCTGTAGGTGTCTGCAAATACTTTGCCATCTTGTCTAAGTGACTTCAGTGTCTGTGAGTTTGGGCACCTGGGGCAGTGCCCATGAACTAGTCCCCTATGGAAACTAAGGAACTATATACCAAGAGGCATAAGACACTAAGTGAAGTCTTATTTTACTTGGGAATGGGGTAAGAAGTCACTAACATAAAACTCTTTTATAAACAAAATTTCTCTTGAGCATCCTTTACATTTTTTTGCATGTATTCAATCTCTTTTTGTACACCAGATCAAATAATTGGCTTGCATTTGGGGGCCCTTGTTAGGTGAAAAATGTTCTTATATATTTCAAGAAAGTCAAGGAAGTTAAATATACTTCAGTATTTATGACTCTACTGTATATACCTTCTTAAAGAGTTAGCTTGCTTGTATACTGGCCTGTTTAAAGGAAGGTTAAGTTGAGAAAAGATAAATGTGATATAAGTAGTAGTAGTACAGATATAATATTCAGTAGCTTAAAAAATGGAAGTGACTCCTGAGAATCATGAGGAAATCTCACAGAAAATAGGGTTGGTTTGTAATTGGCCCAGCCCAGAACTTTGTATGTATGTGAATATGTATATAGTGAGCAGCAAGTAAATGTTGAATGACTGGAAGATTAGGTCTTAGTATAAAGGTTACCGAGGTTATATCATATATAGGAATATACATTGTATCTGATTTCAATACTAGGTAACAAAAAGTTAAAAATAGTTAGTGGGCTGGGGATTTAGCTCAGTGGCACCGCACCTACCTTCCAAGTACAGAGTCCTGAGTTCGATCCCCAGTACCACCCCCCTATAAATTAAAATTCATATAACAAAATAGCTTAATAAATTAGAAGAATATTGATTGTTAAGGGTAAATATTTGGGGTTAAGTCCTAGCTCTGTCACTGTAATAATATAACCCTAGGCTGGGAATTTGGCTCAGTGGTTCCACCACCTGCCTCACAAGCGCAAGGGCCCGGGTTCAATCCGTGGTACCAAAAAAAATATATAATCTTAAATAAGTCAATAAACCTTCACTTCTTCAACTGTAAAAGGATGCCACTTGTCTACTATACAGGATAGTCATGTAAGATTATATATGTGAAAAGACGTAATAAAAGAATGTGAGATGCATTAATACTCTATTATTCTGGTGACGTAGGTGAGGTTAGCTTTTATTTTTCCGTTGTTTTAGCTGCAGTGATGACTTTATTATGTGTTAATTAGTAATTTCTGATTTTTTGTTTAAAATTTTTTAATGTTCCCAGAAACATTTATTAAAATTACATCATTCATAATCCAGAGGTGACATTTGCCCCCTTTAATTAGAAATGATTTTGCAGAATATAGAAAATTATATTTAAATATAAAAATACTTTTCATCATATATATAAAATTACTTGTTCCTTAAAAGCCTCAAATACTGATTGAGGTTATGTTTCTCAGTCTTAAAAAGTAATACTGTAACCAGAAGAATTTAACTTTTAATACTTTCACATTTGTATTTACTTTATTTTTTCTTTCTTTAGTTGGCTTCATTTTGTGCCATGGGATCCTAAATACTGATGCTACAGCTCTGAACCTTTGGAAGCTAGCTCTTCAAAGTAGCTCTTGTCTTTCTCTCTTCCGGGATGAAGTTTTCCACATTCACAAAGCTGCAGAAGATTTATTTGTAAACATAAGAGGGTATAGTATTTTCAGTTATTTTGTCTTTTTTGGAGAAAAGTGGTGAGGGAATTACCTTTACTGAATAGAGAAGTAGATTCATCATGCAGAAAGATGTAGCCTGTACTATCTTCTCTGGTTTCAGCAGGTTGTTTTTATTTATTTATTTTGAGCGGGGATTCATGGGATTGAACTCACGCATGACCTTGTGCTTGCAAGGCAGGCATGGTGTCACTGAGCTAAATTCCTGGCCCTCAGCAGATTGTTTTTAAAAACCATCCTGATACTGGTAATAATATTTTTATGGATAACCTCACAGATGAAAAAAAATCTGGAGCTCTTGCCCTTTCAAAGCATGTGTTCTAGAGAAGGAAAAAGTGTAAATCATACATTGTATATAAATTACTGAAAGTGCCATGTATGTTTTAGCATTTAAAAAAAATTTTTTTTTTTGGTACTGGGGATCTATCTCAGGACTTCGTGCTTGCGAGGCAGGTGCGGTGCCACTGAGCTAAATCCCTGACCCAGCATTTTTAAATTTAGAAGTGTTAAGAACAGAATGTATTTACAAAAGTATTTGAAGCCATCAAAATATTTCACTAGGTTAATGAAAACAACTGTAGAAGTCAGACTACTGTACATAGGAAATCATGTGTCCTTATGGTATCCTACGTGATTTATTTTCAGTCATTCTCTGGAAAACAAATTATATGTCTGGAATTTGTTTCCATGGTCTTCACCAGTCATTTGTGGTTCTGGTGATCAAATTTAGGACTTCACATGTGAGAGGCAAATACTCTACTGCCAAGCTACATTCACACCCGTCTTTGAAATTTTTAATGACTTCATTTCTTTCCATTTGAAGTTCTGCTGCCAGTTTCCAAAAAGCCAAGTTGAATTCACAATTGGTAGCAAATAAAGTTGAAATAACCTGCATCTAAAATATCCTGGGGTCAGCTGTAGTTACGTTGAATAATTGTTCTAGGCTTGTTAGCTTTGATAAAAATGACATTTTCTTGTATTTGTTTCACATCCAATTCACATCTAATGTTTCAATGAAATTGATAGAATAAAGCTTCTGTTAGTTGTTAAAAATAAAATACATCTAACAGTACCGCTTAACGCCTCATCTCACTTTTAGTGTGTGTAAGAACCTGGAATGTAAATTAAAGTCCAGGTTTTTAGGCTTCAATTTTTATCTTAGAAAGGTTAGAGTACCTCACCTGGTACTTTATTGAGATAAAGTTTACAAACAGGAAAAGAATAAATCTTAGGTATGTAACTCAGTGACTACACATAAATACTCCTGTATCACCACCATCTGCTGTAGAAAATTTTTATCATCCTCAAAAGTTCTTTGTCCTCTTTCTGATCAGCCCTGCCCCTCTCAGCTCCTGCCCTGCTCTTTGCTCAGGTGACCACTGTCTGACTTCTGGCAGTGTAAATGGTTCTGATTTTCTTTAGCACATCAATTCTGAATTGTAGACATTTTTTGGGGGGTACCAGGGATCAAACTCAGGACCCTGTGCTTGCGAGGCAGGCAATGGAACCACTGAGCCAAATCCCTGGCGCTGTTTCTGATTTTCTCACATGGGGTATTTGTCAATCATAATATGAGCAATAGTACCCTATACGCTTTTCAGCTCTTTTTTAGCAGAGTGGATGGAATATTCTTAAAATGTTCTACATTATTTAGGTGGTCTTTGTCATTTTCTAATTGGTTAAGGTTAAAAATCGTGAAACTTCTATTATGTCTTAATCATATTTGCCATCTTATTATGAAGTCACATTTAAATACATGTAAGCATTTAAAACTGGGTAATCTGTGACACTGGGTAGTCTGTGTATACATGTAGTAAAAGTAAATTTAATGGTACCATAAAGCTAGTTGACTTCTGTTAATAACAATAATTTTTAAATAATACATTTATCATTTAAGAATCTATACTTGAAGTTGAGAGGTTTTAGTGTTTTATCAAATCAGTCCAATTTTAAAATGTGGGTTATCATGGATAAGCCATAAGTATTAAAACTTACTAATTTTATATGTGTGTATATAATATATATATATATATATGTGTGTGTGTGTGTGTGTGTAAATTTATTATTAGTAGTATTGTTTTTGTACTAGGAATCAAACTCAGGACCTTGCGCTTGTGAGGCAGGCATGGTGCTGCTGAGCTAAATCCCCAGCCCTAGACATAGAATTTTAATGCCTATTGGGTTGAGGAACAAATAGATTTTAAAGGAATAAAAGTCTGCGTTGTGAAATTTTACTGCTGAAATTAATGTAATATGAGATTATTTTTTTCTGAGAAGTCTCAAGTTAGGCACTAATGTGCTAAGAAAAGGTGTGGGTAGATTTTTCTCAACTATTTTGTTTAAGCGTGAATTATTTGTTGTAGATGATAAGGCATTTTAAATTGACCTTTAGTATTTCCCTCATTTTAACTGTTTATCAAATTAAGATTGACATGTTTTTTTTTAAACACATAGCTACAATAAGCGTATTAATGACATAAGAGAATGCAAGGAGGCAGCTGTGTCGCATGCGTAAGTACTATTTTATCTGTATTTTTTTCATAAAGGAGAATTTCTTAAAAGCATTATTTTGTTGAAGTGAATACAGATTAATGATGTGCACCATGAAGAAGAGGGAGGGTTTCAATCAAGGAGAAATAATGAGTGTTAACCACTAAGACTAGTAGCTTTAAGGAAGTACCATGCAAAGAAAGGACATTTGTTTCAAGTATTATCTCTTTACCAGCCACTATGCTCCCTGTACCAATAATTTGTGTAGATTTTTTACTTCGTGAAAATTGAAAAGTCGCTCACTATCCCAGAGTACTGGGATCACAGGTGCACCACCATGCCAGGTGGAGCACTTTATATTTTGCATATTAAGAGGAACTGAAATACAGATCATTTTATGTTTTTTTTTCCTTCTGTTAATATAGGAAGATAAGTTCTAATTTGCATTTAAATTTTAAAATAACTAGTATAAGAATGTGAAAAGGAAAATATCCTTTTCTCTCCTAATTGTTATTTTTGAGCTGACTTTTGTTTAGTCAGTTCTATATACTTACTAACAATATACTTTTAAAAGGATATAGATAAGCAGATATTCATTAAGTTATATTTGTTTCCATGTGGAAGTGACACACATATAGCCAGTGATTGTCTTCAAAGACTTTGCAGTCCACTTTGTAAAGTGGTACTAAAATCACAAATTATTTAGAAATAGGTGGATATTGGGAGGTGCTTCTTGAAAGATTAATTGATTTCAGAGTTGGTGAAGAACAACAGAGCAAATGGTTGCAAAAGTAACTCAAAATAGGGCTGGGGATTTAGCTCAGTAGTCCCGCAGCCTGCCTCATAAGCCCAAGGACCTGAGTTTGATCCCCGGTACCAAAAAAAAATAAAAGTAATACAAAGTAGAAAATTTATGTTTGTTGGTGCTTCTGTTTCCTAAAGAAGTCTTTGGAAGTTACCCTAACATAAGAGGTTCCTTTAATTGCCAGTTGTAATTTTAGTAGAAACAGAGAAGCTGTAATGGTATCTTTTCCCTGTAGTGGCTCAATGCACAGAGAAAGACGCAAGTTTTTAAGGTCTGCACTGAAGGAGTTGGCTACCGTCCTCTCTGATCAACCTGGCTTGCTTGGTCCCAAGGTAATTAATTTAATTCTTATTTCTGTAAGTGTGCCACATGAAAATATTTGAAAACATTTCTCTTACATGGTGTTTTCTGAAGTTTGAGTCAGGGACTATACAGAAGGATTTTTACATTTATCCAAGAATGAATTGGCTGCATTGTCATGTATCACACTTCTGTACATTTTTCTTAGCTGTGCACTCTCTCATACATACTCTAAATTCTCTTGTCTCCTCTCATGTTACTCTTCTCTCATTCAAATATAATACTTTGTTTTCTTGCCAGTGACTTTTCACTTAGAGAAAAATGATGAATAGATTTTGTTTTCAGTGTGAGCGTAAACAATGTTGGTCTTTTTTTATAGGCACTTTTTGTTTTTATGGCATTATCTTTTGCCCGTGATGAAATTATTTGGCTACTTCGTCATGCAGATAATATGCCAAAGAAGAGTGCAGATGACTTTATAGATAAGTAAGTTGGTGACAGTAGAAAATCATTTTTTTAATTCTGATTTATAGACTGGAATGTAAAGACAACATTTCTAGCAAAGTTATTTTGAAAAACTTCTGGGGTTTCTTTATATTTGCAATATAAAGAAATACATAGGAATATTTGTACTATATCATTAGATGATGCAAATTAGAATGTGGACAGAGGTTTAATTTGAAATTAGGGCTTTTAATGATTTCTCTGTGATGCAGTAGGTGGTGATAAAGTTATTTTCTTGCTATGCTCATTATTGTCTATGAATTTACTTTTCAAAATTATTTATACAAACCATTTAAATAAGAATTGTCATGGTGGGTGGGCATGGTGGTGCATGCCTGTAATCCCAGAACTCTAGAGGCTGAGGCAGGAGAATTGCTGTGAGTTCGAGACCATCCGGGGCTACATAGTGAGTTCCAGGACAGTCTCAACTACATAGTGAGACCCTGTCTCAAAAAAACCAAAAAAAAAAACCAAAAAAAAAAAAATTGTCATGATATAGTTGCAACCCAATATGTCATTTGAAATGTCTTTCCTTTTTAATCCATAATCTGTTAATAGGCGTTTGATAAATGAAGCAGAGAAATAAGAGCATATAAAAACATTTTACTTCATCTGTGATTTGTTAATGATGTTTATGAGTTGTCTAAATTTTATTTTTATCTTGGATTTTTTTATCAGTTTTTAGTCTTAGCCTTTTTCCCTTTCCATGATTTCTTTATTCATATGAAATAATTTAAAAAGAAATTATTGATAGTAAATATAAAACAATGCTCTTAAGAAAAAAGTTTAGAAATAATAAAAATGTTTAATGTTTTCTTTGATAAAATTAACTTTTTGAAATCTTTTTCTTCACTTGTTAAAAAGGCACATTGCTGAATTAATATTTTACATGGAAGAACTTAGAGCACATGTAAGGAAATATGGACCTGTAATGCAGAGGTATTATGTGCAGTACCTTTCTGGCTTCGATGCTGTTGTCCTTAATGAACTTGTGCAGGTAAAAAAAAAAAAAAAAAAATCTCATGTTTGCTCTGTCCTTCCTGACTTTTAACTATTTGTTCAGTAAGCATTTGTAAAATGTAGTCGTAGCTGAGCGTGATGTCACATGCCTGTAATGTTAGCGATCTGGGATCCTGAAGCAGAAGGATCACAGGTTCAGGCCTATCCTGGGCAATTTCACACCTGGGTGAGACAGTGTCTCAAAATAAGAAATGAGCCGGGAATTTAGCTCAATGGTGCCATTGCCTGCCTCTAAGCTCAGTCAAGGTCCCAAGTTCAGTTGCCGGTACAGAAAAAGAAAAAGAGGGCTGGTGATTTAGTTCATTGCAAATGGCTAAATCCCCAGTATTGCAAAGGAAAAGAAAAATTATTTGCTGACCAGTGGAAATATAGGTGTAAATACACCATGGACTTAAACTGTCAAATTTCTAGAGGTGAAGAAACCCTTGCAGTATAATATACGTGTTATGATTATATTATGGAAAGCTCAAAATGAATGTACTGAGAATGAAGTTGTGCACTAACAGGGACTTGGGAAAGAGGAGGAGGTTAGTTGTAAATCAGATTTACTGTTTAGAAGGATCACCCTAGATTAGTATAAATGGTGGATTTCTGGAGGCCAAGGGAAGAGGCAGAAAATCCAGAAACAAGAAAAATTGCTGCTCTAAGCTAATGAGAGCTGATGAAAGCCAGAACTTGTCAGTGGTTATGGAGATAAAGGAGATGACAGAGACAATATAATTGATAAATAAGTATTAAAGAAAAATAGAAAAAAATAATTTTGAACAGTATTAGAAGATACCCAGTACATCAAGATTTCATCATTAGATATTCTAATTTATAATTTTAATTTCATTTTGAGTTTTCCTTTATTGCTGGTTAGTCTCAACTTTATCTATCTATATGCTTTTATCTGTCTGTCTATCTATCTATCTATTCATTTATTGGTACCGGGGATCGAACTTGGGTCCCTGCGCTTGCAAGGCAGGTGGTGGAACTACAGAGCTAAATCCCCAGCCCTAGTCTCAGCTTTTAAAAGCATTTATAATTTTTATTCAACATTTATCTTAATGTAAATTTCCTTTATTATTCCAAGTAAACTGTAAAGAAAGTGTTACTTTGCTTCACTTTATAAAATTAGAGATATCTGAAACTACTGTAAGCCAGTAAATGAAAGAGCAATAAATTTAGAACTACTCTGTAGTTACTGGTTTTCCTAAAACACATAGATTTCTTCTTTAATCCGCTAGAGGGTGCTCAGATACCTCCTTTCTTAACTTTTTTTCTGCGATTCCAGTGATACCAATAGAAGAATCAACAGCAAGAATTTGTTATACTGATACTGAAGTAGTTATACTTGTTGTTACTATATTATAAAAGATCTGTGTAACTTGCACTCGGTTCATGAGGAGTAGAGTATCCAAACTCAAGTCCTACCTCAAGTCGCTTTTTACCACTTTCTTTGGTTGCAGCTTACATTCATAGTATTGTACTTTTAACCCTTTACTAGGATATAAATTTAGAATATTGTAAGCTTAATTATGTTAATTTTTTATTATGGTAGAGTATATGTATCCAAACTTAACATTTTAACCATGTAAATATATAGTTCAGTGACATCATTTATAGTCATACTGTTTGTAGATCTTCATGTGTTTTTCTTTTTGTACCAGGAATCAATCTCACATGCTTGCTAGGCTTGCCAGACAGGCACTGTGCCACTGAGCTACATTCCTGGTCATATCTTAATGTCTTGAAAATGTTTTTTATGTATTTTCTTTGTGGCTAAGCAGCCACTTTTGGAAGGGGGGAGCTGGGGATTGAATTTAGGACCTTGCTCTTGTGAGGCAAGCGGCGGCACCATTGAGCTAAATCCCCGGCCCAGCATCCACTTAAAAATGCATATTTTTGCCATCTATTTTAGATTGAATTTGCAAATACTCATTTTCTTTTTGTTTTTTCAGTGCTAGGGGTTGAACTTAGAGCTTATACAATGCTAGGGAAGGGTTTACCACTGAGTTTAATCCCTACATACTTATTTTCTTAGCCAGCTTGAAAGGTTTTTTGGGGAGAAGGTCCCTAATTTTGTTTAGTAATTAATTAAATATATTAAAAATCATCCATTTCTAATGGTTTTAAAATTTTGACACATGTATATATTCATGTAATTCCCACCATCATATTAAATATGCAAAACATTTCCAACACCCTTAAAAATTTTCTTGTGTATCTTTATGGTGAATTCTGTCACATACCCCTGACAACGATTTTTCTATGACTGTAATTTTCTTTTAAGACAATTTATCATATAGATAGAAGCACACACTTCATAGTGTTATTTTTATTTCTTTCACTTAGTTTAATGTTTTGGGGTTCATGTTATGGTATATTTCAACATTTTATCCCCCCACCGTCTTTTGCTTTGTAGGGCATGAGCCCAGAGCACAGTGGCTGCTAGGAAAACACCACCATGGAGCTGTATCCCAGCCCTTCATTCGTTTTGATTTCTGAAAAATACTCTGTCCTGTGGATGTCATATTTTTTTTAACCTATCCACTCGTTGATAGACTTAATAGATGTTTCCCAACTAAGTGTTCTGAACATTACTTTTTGTTTTCCAGAATCTTTCTGTTTGTCCCGAAGATGAATCAATCATCATGTCCTCTTTTGTTAACACTATGACTTCCCTAAGTGTAAAACAAGGTAAGTCTTCTTGAAAAGTAAAAGCATGTTTTCTTCTAATTAGACTTTCAAGCTTTACTATTAAGAAGAAAAGTAAACACTTGTTTAGATTTTTTGTTTTTTTGGGGGTTTTTTTGGGGGGTGGCAGGTATTGAACTTGGTACCTTGCGCTTGCGAGGCAGGCTCCAGAACCACTGAGCTAAATCCCTGGCCCTTAAAGAGCAAAGTTAACAGTTAAGAATCACTTATCTCATTTTTAGATATAGTTGATCTGTTTTTTCTTGACTTTTTCTCTGAAGTGAAGTTTTCCAAAATGACAGGTATTTACTAAAATCTTAAGAATTTTATCTAAATACTTTTACTCAGTGGAAAAATGAAGCATTTAGTAACAAGAAAAAGTAAGAGTGAATTGATGTAATGAAGTATACATTTGGTTCAGGCATACCTATAACAATGCTAAACACTGCTAATGAATTGTTTAGTTTGTGCTATTGTGGTAATTCACAGACCAGTGATGGCGAACCTTTTAGAGATGAGTGTCCATACTCCTCCAATGCAAAACTCACCGCAAAGTGTTGACACTGCAACACTGCAATTAAACCTGAATACTGAGGTTTGAGTTCAGAAAAAACAGCTCATGTACTTGGCTTGTGCGCCTACAGGGATTCATGTGCCTGCTACAGCACGGCATACCACAGGTTCGCCACCGTTAAATATATTATCTCATTTAATCTACCTCATGTTTTTAAACTGTTACTTTTATACATTTGGAAATTCAAGGTTTGAACATTAATGTCTCAGTTATTTCACATTATTCATAAAAGCTTTAGGGGGCATTAAGTAGAAATTTGAGCTCAGATCTCTCAGTCTCAAAAATTGTTGGCGTTGTTTTTGTTGTTGTTCAGCTTCCTTTGAGAAGGCAAAACTGTATATAGAAGGCTCATTGTGTAGCCTGGCCTCAAACTCACTAGCCCATTCTGGCCTTGAACTCATGGGATCCTTCTGCTTCAGCCTTCCAAGTGCTGGGATTATAGATGTGCGCCACCACACTGGCTCAAAAGTTGATTTGTATCATAACTAAATTACTTGTCCATTATTTGAACACTGTTTCGGAGATTGATAGGATGTTTTAGTCTTGTAGTCTTTTAACAGAACAAATCATAAACCTTGAAAACTTGAATAGTAAATATATAGATATTTTAATCAGTCTTCATACTTACTATTTTAAGTAATGAATGCCTGTCACCTTGTGGGTGACATTTATTTGTATGGAGTCATTTTATGGAGTTTCAGCATCCTGTCCAAAATTTCTATTCATGAGATGTCAGGTTTTGTACTATTCCTTCAGATAGACATGTGAGCAGACTGAGAATCAGAGAACTTAGGGAGAAGTTTACTTCTTTTTTCATAACTGCCTCCTTTATAGGATTTGAGAACTGTTTTACAGTTTTAGCGCTTCTTTATTTTTTTTCTTTGATACCGGAGATTGAACTTGATACCATGCACTTCCAAGGCAGGCAGTGGCACCACTGAGCTAAATTCCCGGCCCTATAGTTTTAACTGTTAAATCTTTTTATTTTTATCTTTTGCTTGTAAAATATACACACAATGTAAAATTTACCATCTTAACTATTTTTTAGTATAAGTTGGTGATTTAGGTATATTCAGATCTTAAAAAATTTTTTCGTTTGGTACATATTTGTAGATCCCAATGTCTGCATTCATCCTTGGGGACAAGTTCATGTACTTCATAAATAAACAAGCCAGCCCAGCCTGGTCTCTTAACCAGTTGGGCTCAAGTTATCTTCTTAACTCAGAATCCCAAGTAATGGGGACCTCAGGTGCTCTGCACCATGCCTGGCTCCATGACTGTTTTATTTCACTGGGCATAATGCCCTCAAGTTTCAATTGTGTTGTATCATGTGTCCACATTCCCTTTGTTTTTAAGATTGAATAATATTTCATTGTAATTGCAGGCTGCATTTTTTAAAAAAATCTGTTAAAGGGCGTTGAACTTGCTCCACATTCCTCATTATGAATAATACTGATGGGAGCATGTCTATACAAATCTCTCAGACACTGGTGTTTTATTTTGGTTACATACCTAGAAACAGAATTTTATTAAAATTATAAAATTTGATTATAGATTTTGAAAACATTAATTTGCTTTGTAATCTTTCATTATTGCAGTTGAAGATGGAGAAGTATTTGATTTCAGAGGAATGAGATTAGATTGGTTTAGGTTACAGGTAAGAATAATTTTATTATTGTTTTGTTATTGAATAAATTGGTTAACATGAAAAGTTACACAGCAGAACTGTAAATTGTTGCATACCTTTTTTAAAAATTTACTTTGTACAACTAACTATAAAGGAGATATATATTACAGTTAATGAACTTGCATAAATTTTTTTATCTAAGCCAATATAGTTTTTGGATAAAGTAGAATATAATTTTGTAATATTCAGAAATTCAAATCTCAGTCACTCTCTTGAATCAAGAGTTTCAGGGTGACAACACAAGATCTTTTTTGACATAATACATGTCTGTCATATAGTTTTTAAGGGCTTTGAAATACAACCCTCTGTATTGTAAATTTGACCGGAGAGTGTACTTTTGTCCTTTTAATATTTCTAGTAAATATGGGAAGAGGATAAGAGGAATTATTCTGTCTTTGAGGATTTTTGTAATTAACTGTAAAGACAGGTCAGGAGAGATGTTAAAAAATAAAAAGACAAACTTCTAAAAGATTATACAGGTAGAATATAATACTATATTCTTTGAAGAAAGAAAACTTATTTTCAAGTTGGAATTTTTAGTAATTTCTTCAAAGAAAAAGCCAGATTTTACCCAGCCCTTGAAAAATGATTCAAATGTGAGTAGGCAAATAGCTTATACAGGAAGAGGGCTGACAATAAGTAAAGGATGTTAATGTTTTTCTTTCCATTGATGTCATACATTTCAGATGAATTTTTAAAATTAAGTTGTCATTTCTTAATCTGTTTTCACATTGGTGTTTTAATTCTAAGTTTTTAATGGAAACAAAGCTTTTCTAAGGTGGAAAAAGGATTGAGGGGAGGAGATTGGGGGAAAAGAAGAATCAAGATATATTATGTATAGGTACAAACTCCCTGATTATCGTGTATATCTAAAATGTGCCAATAAAATTAAATTTAGGAAATAAAGATAAATTGTAAATTTTAAAAAATAAGTAGGAGATATGGAAGTTTTTATGCCTTAGCTGATTCTTCTTTATACTCTAAAGCTGGTTAAAGACAAATCTAAATCTAATTAGGCTTAGTTTGTGATAAATGTGCAGAGTATATTTTGATACTGGATTATTGTCATTAGTATTCCTCATTCCCTCCCCTTTCCTGTCAGACTGTACAGCTATTTTCTCTGTGATGCTCCTGTCAGTGATGGTAACATCCACTTAGAATAGTCCCCTTTGCTGTTGTAGGGTTTGAGATCTGAACCTTTATCTTCCAAGGCAGTAATGTGGTTTCTGTCTTTTTTTTGGTATTGTGGATTGAACTCATAACCTTGCACTTGCAAGGCAGGTGCACTGCCACTGAGCTAAATCCCCAGCCCCCAGTAATGTGGTTTCTTACCATGTCAGGGGTATTGGCAGAAGACCCGGGGGCTGCCAGGACAGAGACCAAGAACGAAATTATTCAGTGTAGGAAGCAGCAGGTGCACCAGTACGTCTGTACCATGCTTCTTTGCCTCAGCCTCTTGGAAAGGTGGTGCAGGGAAGCCCAGATGCGTGTTCTTACGCAGTGGATTTGTTATAGCTAAGGAATGCTGATCTTAGCAACTTTCTGTTTTATCATCGACAAGCAGGCTTCCTCTTTGTTCCAAGGAAAACATTGCTTCATCTCTCAAGTTTGATAGCTGCAAATACAGCTCTAAGAGATTGCCCAGGAAAGGAGAGATTCAGGTCTTGTGTTCTTTACATACCCAACAGTATGTGTAGGAGTACATGAGACCCCACAGCCAAACTCTGGCCGGCATTGCATCACGTCAGTCGTTTACAGCTTAAGTCTGTTGAAAGTCTGTTAAACTGTTACTACTCTAGATCGGACCATGATCATCTTGTCTGATTTACTGCCAGTATAGCTTTCTAACAGCTTTCCACCTCCTTCCCCTGAGCTATACCTCCCATCCCCAACCACCATACATTGCCATCTCGTTAAAACCTGGCTACTACACAGAACCCTAAGTTCACAAAATTTAAACTCTTTAACGTGCTATATTAAGGCTATATATGAATTGGTTGAATTTCATCTTTCACCATTTTCTCTCTCATGTTTGTATTCAAATTCTATCGTGAGCAGTGTTATTCTATAGGCACCCCTTGTATTCACGTTCTCTGACCTGAGATGCACACTATTAGACTTGATATTTTGGTATCCCATTCAATGAATGTATTTCCCCAAAACCTGTCTTGTTGATTTTAATAAGTTCTGGAAACTTTTTGCCTGGCCTACCCTAATTTTTTTTTTACTATTTTGGTGCTTTTATAGAACTTTTCAAAACAATGCAGTGAGTTATACTGTTTATTTTTTAGTGATTCAGTATAATCTAAAACCTTACTGTACCTTGATCTGCTGTTTCTTATGTTTGTTTTCTTTTTGAAACAACACTTGACGATTTCTTATGGTAGGGATAACATGACAGGTGTCTTACACTTCTGATACTGCAGCTTTAATTCTTTTGGAATTGACAGTGAATGACCTGTATATTAGGTTTTGTTTTATGGATATTAGTATTTAATTTTGTTTAAATAAATTCTTGATAGAAATTTCAAGTTAGGGACTCTACAGTTAAAAATATTACTGAGGGCTGGGGATTTAGCTCAGCGGTTCGGTGGCCTGCCTTGGAAGTGCAAGGACCCAAATTCAATCCCCGGTACCAAAAAAACAAACAAACAAACAAAAAAATGTTACTCATACAACATCAAAATAGTTTTAATAATTTTCAGTAGTGGATTTTTTTTCTCCTTTAGGATGACAAGTTTGAAATCATTGGTCTCTGTATAAAGTACTTCGGTTTTGTTGTGCTTTTATAGGCATACACTAGTGTCTCTAAGGCTTCACTTAGCCTTGCAGATCACCGAGAACTTGGAAAAATGATGAATACAATAATCTTTCATACAAAAATGGTAGATTCATTGGTGGAAATGTTGGTGGAAACATCAGATCTCTCCATATTTTGGTATGTCGTTATTTTCCTTAAATGTAGATTTGACATCTTTTGTATTTGAAGATATGTCCCCCAGTCTCATCTTGAACTCACTATGTAGTCCACGTTAGCCTCAAACTCAGCAGTGATCCTCTTGCTTCAGCCTCTAGTTGCTGGATTACAGACATGCACAACCATGCCTGATGAAGATACATTTCTTGATTGTTACCTTAGTCCTAAGATAATTCAGTAATAGGCTCTTAAAGATAAAGAAGGGTAGTGAACTTGTACAAAAACTTGCCACCTAAAAGAAATTTGTGAAGTTGGGATTTTACGTCTAATTTTATTTTTTAGTATATGTGCTGCCAGAGTAAGCACTTGAGTTTTATTTTTTGTTTGTTGTGGGTTTTTTTGGTACCAGGGATCAAACTCAGGACTTTATGCTTGCGAGGCAGGTGGTGGCACTACTGAGCTAAATCCCCAGCCCCCCATACTGGGGATTGAACTCTGGACCTTGAGCTTGCTGGGCAGGCAGCAGAACCACTGAGCTAAATCTCTGGTCTCCCCATGTCTAATTTTAGTTCTCTATAAGAGTAACTCTTCCCAGCTGGGCCTAGTGGCACATGCTTTTAATCCCAGTACTCAAAAGGCTGATGAGGCAGGAGGATCACTGCCATTTCAAGGCCAATCAGAATCACAAAACAAGAACCTGAAAAAAGTGACTCTTGTTGATGTGAATTGTGTTTCTTAGATTTTGTTTGAGGATATGAAAAACAGTTCAAATCACTAAGGGCCCTCCTTTGCATGTTTAGACTAAGAGAGGAGAACATTGTGTATAAGAGTCAGAGTAAATATTGGAAATTAAATATCTAGTAACTTCACTTGTGTGGTGTTAAATTAAATATTAGTGTGATGATGTGATTATCACTACCTGCATTTTGCATCATTCTTTGTTTCAGTCATACTTTCTTTTTTATTGTACTCAGTGCTTTTTTATTGTCCCTCCTTTTTTTTTTTTTAAACCAGAAAATGTCTCTGAAGGAAGGTTTGTGTTTTTGTTTCCTTAGTGTTTATCATATTATGTACTTAAAAATGTTTGAATTAATAAGTGAACTTTTTGGGGATTAGAGTAATAAAGAGTGAGGCAGGATTCAAACTCACATATTTTAGCTCCTTAGCTCTATTTCCTGCTTTTTGGCTTTTTTTGTCTGTAGGGAAGTTAATTGGGATAATCTGTCTCCTTATTTCTAAAATGTGAAGTAATTAGTGGTAATGTTTCTAGGTATTAAATAAAGTCTTTTCCTTTCCTTTTTTTTTGGAAAATAATTCATTCCACAGTGAGTGAGTGAGTGATTTTAAAAAAACAATTTATTTGAAGATGAGGAAGGGAGGAAAAGATAGATTGCGGAAAGCTACCCTGGACAAGTAGGGAGAATTCAGAAGTGAATTGTTCCACCATAGTGATTTAAAAATGATTTTAAAAGAATTGCTTTAATTAGTAGTATTGCAGAAATCTAAAACACCAGACAGAACAGCCTGCTTCATAAAGAAACTCATATATATATCACAAAATTTGGAAGGATTTTAAGATTATTTGGAGTCTTCTATTACTTACTATCTGACCCATAGACTACTCCTGAAAGAAAATAGAATATCTTATAATTGTTTTTTTAGCCATAGAAATGTTATTATTGAAAAATTATAGAACAGTTGGTAATTCCTCTCCCCTTTCTTAGAACTAGAAGTACTTTGAATATGCAACTTTTAGTTATATTTAATTTTTATCCTGCCGGGCAGGGTGGTGCATGTCTGTAATCCCAGCATTCAGGAGGCTGAGGCAGGAGGATCGCTGTGAGTTTGAGACCAGCCTGGGCTACATAGTGAGTTCCAGGTCAGTCTCAACTACATAGTGAGACCCTGTTTCAAAAAATCCAAAAAAACAAAAAGAAAATAATTTTTAATCCATATTTTCTCAGACAATGCTGTATTTTATCAACCTTTTTTACGTCTAGATTTAACATTTTAAATTTTAATGTAACATAATTGATGGCATGTGATTGAACTGACAATGTTTTTCCAAGTTATACTTAAAATGGCATTTCTTACCATTGATAATGACAACTTTGAAATTTGATGATTTAAGATTTGAATATCATGTTTTAATACATATTCCATAGGCATGGCTTTTCTTCTTTTTTATCTTAAATATTTGTTAATGTCATACAAATAATACTTGTATTTTAAAATAATTTTCATGTAAAAGATACTTTTTGGGGAAAATATCTATTATGAGGATAAATTTAATAAGTTGGTAGTTTTCATCTACTTGAATTAAAGTAAATTAACCATATGAAAGTGTATCAAATTTATTTTTAGTGTAGACTATATAACTACAAGTTGTGATTCTAACTTTTGTTTTCTAATATAGTTTTTATAGCCGTGCTTTTGAGAAGATGTTTCAGCAGTGTTTGGAGTTACCGTCTCAGTCAAGATACTCAATTGCATTTCCACTACTTTGCACTCATTTTATGAGTTGTACACATGAACTGTGTCCAGAAGAGGTAATTTCAGTGAAGTACTGTGACTTATATGGCATGCACAACAAGCTAGATCACACTTTTAGCCAACTAAATGCTTACAAAGTCCTGATTCCCTAAATTTGATTCCCACCTAAAGTGTTTCTGTTGAGAGTTAGAAAAATGCTTGAATAGATATGTGATAAAATTGTAAGAGATAAAATATATATACATAGAACACTAAAATCACCTCTAATTTTTTTAGAGTAAATAGTGGGTCAGATATTAATGGTAAGATATATAATAATTAAATTTGTGTATTTTTCATCTTACACTGTAAAGGGATTTAAAAATTAAAAAGAAAAATAATATTGGCTTGTTAATAGATATATTAAGCAGAATCTAGATTTGCTGATATTTACGATAGACATGCATGCATTACCACATACACACAAATACCAAGAAACGAAACTGATCAGTAGTTTACCTAGTATTCATCAAAAATATACTCAGTATTAAAGGGTACAGTTTTAATTTGCCTAAAAGAATAAGTTTTAGTGATCTGTTGAACTGAGTGATGATACAGTTAATGATGTATGTTTTAAAATTACTAAAGGAATAGGTTTTTCATATTCTCACCACAAAAAAGTAAGTTGGTAAAATGATGAAAGTCTCATTTAGGCTGATTGAATATTTCCACAGTATTATACATCAGAGTTGCTTAGGTTATAAGTTGACAGGAGAGCATTTGCATACCTGTCATAGTAATTCCGTAGTTCTGTAGGGGATTGGTTCAAGAGCTCCTAAATGCATGAGTCCTCTTTTAAAAATGGTACAGTATTTGCATGTAACCTGTGTATATCCTCTCATATGCTTTTACATTAGCTTGATAAGTTATAATGCCCAACAGTGTAAATGCTAGTTATCCTGTATTGCTTGAGAAATAATGATAAAGAAGAAATTCTGTACTTCAGTTCACATGCATAAATTTTATTAATATTTTTAGTCTGTGATTGATTTTGTATGTTCAGTCTGTTAATGTGGAGGTCCAACTGTACCCCAAGTAGATTTTATCTTTTACTAGGATTGTTCTTCTAGTCTTCTGGGTGGTCTCTGCTTCTGCTGTTGTGCTCCTAAAGTCTGTTCACTACATCCAGAGGCAGAGGGCAAGTAATAGACTTGCACTATGTTAAGAAACCTCAGGTTTTATTGTTTGTTTGTGTTGTCTTCTAGAAAGCAGATCAGTATTTAGTTGTATGTGGCTGCAAATCCCTTTGCAAATTCCTGTAAAGTTATAAAGGACATTTGAAATAAAGTATAAAGCACCATGATAGATTTAGGAACAGCTATTTTGTATGTCAGGTATTTTTATATTTTATCTTACATTTATTTCAGCAGCATAGAAATTGTACATTTGATATGGAATTCTAGACTATTGAGGAAGGAAAACTTTAAACAACTTTAGCTCTTTTCTAAAGTATTGCAACTGTAGTGCAGAAATTTACAGCATTATATATACAGCATTCCATTTACCCTTTCTTGTGAATTTATTTTACTGACTTGACTTCTAATGCTTTTATTTGAATATTTGAGCTCTATTTTTTCTGCTTATGTACTATAGAATATAGAATTTTTTTGGTCAAGATTTATGTAAATTTTAAATCAGTATTGGAAAACAATTGAAGTTTGTTTTTCCACATGTTTAATTATTTAATATTGAGTAACTGGATTTAGGACTTCAAAAAATTTGAAAATTATATACCATAAAGTTTATGTTAAGGAAGTACTGATCTTTGAAGATTCCTCCTCATCATCACATTTCTTGAATAATCATTTAAGTACTTTATATTCTGTACAAATTCAATATAGTGGGTTGTTACAATAGATGAATTTATAATTACCCCCACTCTGTATTGCAGAATAGGAGTTTAACCTAATTTTCTTTCTTCTTAAAATGTTTTAATTCACACTCCTTTTTTATAATGATCATTTCATCATTTTGCTTTAAAGCGACACCATATTGGAGATCGCAGTCTTTCCTTATGTAATATGTTCCTGGATGAAATGGCCAAACAAGCTCGAAATCTCATCACTGATATTTGCACAGAACAGTGTACTCTTAGTGACCAGGTAATAGTTTAAATTTTTCCTACAGATAGGAAATTTTCATATATGAACATGAGAAAATGCACTATTAATTATTATTTTACTCTTCTTTTTTTAATTCTCAAACTTTCACTAAATCCTTTTGCTGAAACTTCATTAGCAGGTACAATTTCTTACAGATGTAAAATCTTTGGTAAGGCTACCTGTAGTATTTTTCTTTTACCAGGAGAGAGAACCTAATGTCTAGTTTCTTTAATCAACTGATTCTGTTATTTTGTTGATGGTTGAAAAGTATTTTATCTGTACGTATATATTAGTTCCAATGTTTTTCAGAGATTCCTTCATTTACTACTTCTTTCCAGTGGTAGTTTGCAAAAGAAATGCTTCTTGTATTTTTTAAGTAACTAGTACATTTAATTCATTACATTTAATATTGATGTTGAAGCTCCCAGATTCCATATCTTTGGCAGGTGGGAACCAGTGTAACTGATTGAGAGCTTTCTTGCTGTTTTACATAAGGTGTTTCAACCTCATCTTGTACATAAATGTTTTCTGTCTTTTGAGGGTCTTTTTAGGCTCTTATGTTATATATGCTACTTTTGAACTTAGGTTCTCAGGTGATCCTCCTACCTCAGCCTTCCGAAAGGTTGACACTAGGTGTGTGACTATTCCCTCGACTTGTCATCTTGTGCATATTCTTACTCAGACACAGAATCAGCTCCTTCTCCTGGATCCCTTTAGGAAAAATAATATTTTGAGACTTAGGACGTCTGGACATATTGGTCTCATCTAGGCCTCATCAAGTCTCATCATTTTCCATCACTCATGCCTTCATACTGATAATCTCCAGTTCAAATTCAGGACTCTAAAGTTCTTTATCTTCTGTTTTATAACCATATCATCTTTCATTGAGAATCTTGGTTTTCAAGAACATAGATAATGGAAGAATTATAATTTTTCGTAATTACAGATTTACTTCTTCAGATATATACAAAAGAGTCCCATAGTAGTATTGCTTATGCTGCCACTACCAATATATACTGTATAATTGTTGAGAAAAGTTAAAAGCTTGTTTTTATGTATCTTCTCTTGTAGTTACGTCCTTTTTTGGTGATTTTTTTTTTTTTTTTTTTTTTTTTTTTTTTTTTTGCCGTGGATACTGGAGATCAAACTCAGGGCCTTGTGCTTGCAAGGCAGGCAGGCGATGGACATTTTTTGGTGATTTAAACACTGGGGTTACAGTCATATGTATTGTGGTTCCTTCCTGTTAACATTTACCTGCTCTTATTTTTTATAAATCAGTGTATGTTTGATGCTCCCATCTGCTTCATATGTAGATATCTTCATATGGTGATTTTGTTTTCTCTCCAAAGCTCGGAGCTCTTTCCAGCACAGAGTCAACACAGTTTTTGTTTGTTAGTTTTGTTTAAGAGATGAGGTCTTGTCTTGTTGCCCAGGCTGTCCTTGAACTGCTGGAGTCAAGCTGTCCTCCTGCATCAGCATTCCGAGAAATAGGACTATAGGCATATGCTCAGCCTTCAGCAAACCTTTTTAGTAAAGAATCAGTATTTTATTTCAGGCTTTTTGCACCTTAATGGGCTTTGTTGCAAGTATTACTAAACTCTACCACTGTAGTGGAAGGCAGCTATAGACAGTGTATTAACAAATTAGTGGCGGGGTTCCTTTAACATCATTTACATGTCAGGCATGGTGGTGCATGCATTCCTAATTCTAGTATGCAGGAGCCTGAGGCTGAGACAAAAGGATCCTGAGTTCAAGGCCAGCCTGGACTGGAGAGAGAGACCATTTCTCAAAACAACAACAACAAACAAGTCTTTTCTTGACTTCCTGTCTTATCAGCCATTTTCTTGTTGCTGGAACATAATACCCACTACCCATGACTTAGGGGAGGAGAGGTGTCTTTAGTCAGGTTTCAGTTCATGGCAGAAGCAGGATGGCAGAGGGACATGGGTGAGGAGAGGTGTATTTAGTCAGGTTTCAGCCCGTGGCAGCCAGGAAGCAGAGGGAGGGAGGAGCCCAGGAGAAGAATGCATTTGTCCAGATCATGCTGCCTTGTGACTGCCTCCAGTCAGGTCCATGCTCCTGACAGCACTTTTGGTGATGACTTCAGTAATACACTGATGAGTGTAGCACCACCCGATCCATTCACCTACTCAAGGAAAATTTGGGGACATTCTGTGTCTAAACCATAGCAGTTCTATTCCCAAAAGTATCTCCTCAGTGCAGGGCACTCCTAATAGAGAGCTGTGATCATTTTGAGAATTAATTGGAACTAAAGCTGTGGATTTTCAAGTGAATATTGTACTGTGGGCTCTTATGGCATTCTCTTTTCTCATGGTCATCAAATTCCTGGTTATTTCCCTTTGTTTTCTACACAGACACTGTGATCTTTGTAGTTTGTAACCACCTAGTTATAGTTGGAGTGTTGTAGAGATATTTTGATATTTGATTTTGCAGTAAATATCATTTATGGATTTTGTGCTCTTGTGTGTCTGTTTTTGTTTTGTTTTTGTTTTTTTGTTTTGGTCCTGGGGATGGAACTCTGGCCCTTGTGCTTACAAGGCAGGCATCAGCACCACTGAGCTAAATCCCTGGCATATGTCTCGTTTTTTTTAGTCAGGTGTTAGAGTCACCACTCTGCTTCTTTTTAATATTCTTTTTGTTTGTTTGTTTGTTTTGTTTTTATTTGTTTTGTTTTTTTTGAGACAGGGTCTCACTATGTTGCATACTGATGTGGAACTCACTATGTAGCCCAGGCTGGTCTTGAACTCACAGCAATCCTCCTGCCTCAGCCTCCCAAGTGGTGGCATTACAGCCATGGCATGCCCGGCTTTTAATATTGTTGAAGTTACAGATTTCCTTAAAATTTTTCATTTCTTGAAGAAGGAACTTCTTTGTCACAACACAAATGCAGTATAATTTCTTAGGTATTTCTTTTCAGTATATTGCTTTTGTGGGTTTAGTTACCATCTCTGTATGACTTAATCATTTTCTCTGGCCAGCACTGTCCAGTAGAAATATGTGAGCCACATATGTAACTTAAAATTTTGTAGTAGCCATGTTAAAAATATAAAAAAGATCTAGCCTTAGTGGTGCATAGCTGTAATACCAGCACTCTGGGAGCCTGAGACAAGAGAATCACCAGTTTGCATTCAGCCTGGGCAACTTAATAAGTTATTGAGACCTTATCTCAAAAAAATAAATCTTAAAAAAAAAAAAAAAAAGCTGAGTAGATTAGCTGAGTTTGAAGGCCCTGGGTTGAACCTTGGTTTAATTAAACATATCTAAAATGTTTTTATTTTAGCCTGAGGTAATACGACTAATGAAATAAATATATTACATTTTTTGAAGTAAATCTTGGAAATACCATGTGTAGTTTACACTTTTAAAAAACCTGCTAAATATGTACTAGGCACATTTCACATATATAGTAGCCACGTGTAGCATGTTGCCTGTATTATACAGTACAGCCAGTATTCCTTCTACCTGTAAATGTTCTTTCTCATTTATTTTCCTGAATCATTACTTGTCAAAAACTTAAATTATTTCCCACTTGTTCCTTTTTTTTTTTCACTAGTGGTATTTGCAATGCATTAGGCAGAAACCTTCATGGTATCTTTGCTTCCTTTATCTCATGTCGAAGTTGCCAGATCCTGTTCACTTTATCTCAGAATTCTCTCTCAAATCTGGCTATTTATGTTGGATCTGCCTTATTTTGTACCTCTTCTTTACTTTTTACCTGGTTGTCCTTGCTATAATTCTCTATATTTAAATGTTTTCTTCTATCATTGTTAGAGTTAGCCTTAGGAAATCTTTCCTCATCCTTTACCTCTGTTTTTAAAATTTGTCACAATTTATAGAATTGCTTGTAATTTAAAATATAACCTCTGGCTTGACATTCAAGGCTCCCCTGACAGCTTTGTATTTGACTGCAATTTATGCTCCATAAACTTATGTTTCTCCCCAGGATCTCAACAATATCTTTATAAAGTTTTGTTTTCCTGGGCTGCTTACTCCTAACAAGTGATCTGTTGCATTTCTTACTTGATTGGTATTATTTTACCTGTCCTTTGAATAGTAATTTCAATGTGCCTTGATAGTATTTCCACTATAAAGTGTGTGCGCACACAAATGTGTCTGTTTCTGTTTTTCCCCCTGGGTGTGCGGGCTGCTCTGAGCAGCTAGGTGACCCGTGCCTCTCACTTAACCTCTGTCGGTGTCAGTGTATAATATCACATGGTTGGGATTCAGCTAAGGTTTGTTCAAATAGTCGTGCTTCAGAGTAATTGGTGTAATGTAAGATTTCACTCTTACCTAAATTTAGTTGCTGCCTAAGCATTGTGCCAAAACCATCAGTCAAGCAGTGAATAAGAAGTCGAAGAAACAAACTGGTAAAAAAGGGGAGCCTGAGAGAGAAAAGCCGGGTGTGGAGAGCATGAGGAAGAACAGGCTGGTCGTGACCAAGTGAGCTGCCCACTTTTACTGTACTTTTTTGTTCTGGCAGATTGTTTTCCTTTTCATTTTTTTCTGTGACGTTAGTGCTGAGAAAATGGCAGTAATTGTATATTCTTTATTTTCCAGCCATTTTTTAAAATCTTGGTGAAATTAGTTAATCTGGTAGTACTTTTATTCTAAAGAGGCTAAAATAGGTTTTTGGAGTTTAGAAGGTGATTTAATAGATGGCATTTCTGTGTTGACATATTGAATACTAAATGTGTCTGATAATTTTTTGAGGTGTACTATAAGCAAGCTATAATTTTTAATTTACTTAAATCAGGTAACCAGCTTTTATTTTGGCATGTAGTGGTACGTTAGAATATAACTGATGTCACTGTTTCAAAACAGAAATACCAGACTATGTCATATTCAGGGCTGTTGACTTATTTGTTTGGAGGGGAGGCATAATTGGTCATTAATTGGGTAGATGTTTTTATGTATAAATTTCTACTCTATCTTTGCTAGTTGAACAAGCCACTGCCATTTTATAAACAATATTCCTTCTCCCATAACATATCAACAGTTGGAAATGATGGTCTTTGAGTACAGAATAAGTTTTTCCTATTATATATGAAGTCACTATGGTCATTATTAGCAGAATGTAGAAAGAAATAATGGATTCTGTCTTTTGAAATAATTTTAGTTATTTATACCCATAAAAATTTTGAACTTTGTCAGTTTGAGAAGACAAAAATCAAATTTAATTGTCTCTAAAGTTTTAGTATGTTTATAAAGTGAATTTTATATTACTTATGGTGAAATGTCAAATTTTTATTTACTGTTATTCTTTTCCAGCCTTGATAAATTGCACACTGCACTTTCTGAATTATGTTTCTCTATAAATTATGTACCAAACATGGTGGTATGGGAACATACATTTACTCCACGAGAATATTTGACTTCTCATCTGGAAATCCGCTTTACTAAGTAAGCAAGGATATAATGTTTTTTTTGTCAGTTTAGAGTTTAATATATTAATTATTGATATCTATATAGCATCTTATTTTGTGAGGAAAAGTATTAGTAGAACTTGTACAGGATAAAGAATAATGAATTGGGAAACATGAAGAATAGTAAATTGAGACTTGTTTAAATTACCCAGATTCTTGCCCTGTACTTATTAATTAGTAACACTGAGCAGTTAGTTCTCTCTGAGTTTTGGTTTCCTATAAGTAAAATGAGAAGAATGGAGCAAGTCAGTGTACTTGAGCCCGATAAGCCCATAAAATCAGTGTAATGGGTTACAGTGAATATTTCAAGAAAGAAATAAGAAATAGAAAAAATCAGTGTATTGTGTATAGTAAATAGAGCAAATTACTTGTCAAACCTTACAGATGTGTGTGTACTTATATCAAGTTGTGCTATATATTGCCATAAATAGGTCACAGTCAAATACAAATATTTGAAAACCTCAAGGCTGGGTGAACTTTTACATCTGTTCTGAATTCAAAGATATTGTTATGTTAGTAGCTGTGTTGAAGACTCAGTTTTAATTAGAATTTTTAAAGTTGGGTACGTATGTGCTGCTTCAAATGTTTCTGTTTATGATAATTAGATACCCTTTAATTTAAATGTTGCTTTAATCTTTTTATGAAGTTACACACCTATTAAAGACAGTGTTAATTTGACAGTTTTTTTTTTCTTAAAAGTCTTAAACCAGTTTATAAAACAAATTTTTGCCAAAAGTTTTTTAAAGTTTCTGTGGCCATTAACACAAGATATTTGTATTTGCCACATGCTTAACATTGTATTAAGTAAGTGTAAGTAGGTAGCAAGTAGTATAAAGCTATTATACTATACTAACAGTTTACAGCTTGCCGGTTTTCCAGTGTGAACAGTCTGGTCTAATTATTCAAAAATAAATGTCCCTTTTACTTAACATGTACTTTATGATGTAGGACAAGGTAAAGGAAACAACTTTATACCTAGGAAAGATATTTATGGAGGATAAAGAGCTTGTGAGTTTCAGGGGATTAATTATGCTGATCATGGGAGCTCAGTTTTATGACTTATACAAGGATAGCCGTTTTCATTTTGAGTTGTCCCCCTGCCGCAGGTGTGGTGCCAATTAGCTACATTCTGAGCCCCTGGGCTTATTGCTTGTATGAGATTTGTTTGTTGTTTTTCAGGATTCATCTTTACAAATATAAGTCTAAAATCTCTACAGATTTAATGGTCAACAGAGCATTAAGTGATATCAGGATTGCCATTACAGAAAACGGTCATTTAGGAAAGCATTTTCACTTCTGTGTCTCCTTCTAGTCTTACGCATTTTCTTATTTTATTGTGTAAAATCATAGTGATCACATATAATAGAGTTGTAGTTAATCTACATGAAATAAAAAATACATCTGGCAAAAGTATCAAATTCAGACTATGGACTGAATAGCCCATTGTCCTTGCTACAGTTTCCCATGTTAATCAATGTTTAACTTCTATAATGCTTAATTTTGTTACTAATGTTCATAGGATATTTTTAATTATTTGTATTTCCATTTCATTTTAGGTTTTAGGTATTTGGGGTTTTTTTGGTAGAATGTTTCTTGGGATGATAAAGACACTAATTTTGTGGCTTTGTAAAAAGCCTTTCGAGTTTAATTTTATTGCTTATTTAATATTAGATGTTGGTAGGTTGAATGAATTATTTACATAAATGGGAAAATCAGGTATCTTTTTTCATTCTTTTCTTTCCTATCCTAGATCAATTGTTGGGATGACGATGTATAATCAGGCCACGCAGGAAATTGCAAAACCATCAGAGCTTCTGACAAGTGTAAGAGCGTATATGACTGTACTCCAATCAATAGAAAACTATGTTCAGATTGATATTACAAGAGTATTTAATAATGTTCTTCTTCAACAAACACAACATTTGGACAGTCATGGAGAGCCAACCATTACAAGTTTATACACAAATTGGTAAGGAAAATATTTTGAAATCTGGAATGAGCTATTTTGTTTTTGTTTTTTTAATGAACTATGTAGGGAAAAAAATTTTTTATAGATAAGTACTCATTCATATTACTATTGAACTTCAAATTGTAAGCAATATGAATACCACAATAAATTTTGAATTAAACAGTTCCTCTGAGCCATAAATTTACTTTTCTTTTTAGGTATTTGGAAACTTTGTTAAGGCAAGTCAGCAATGGCCATATAGCTTATTTCCCTGCAATGAAAGCATTTGTGAACCTACCCACAGAGAATGAATTAACATTCAATGCAGAGGAATATTCTGACATATCAGGTGAATAATACTGTAGGATGGTTCTGAGAATTTAAAAAGCTTTGACTGTTACGCGTGAAAACTTCATCTTGAGTCTTGGTTTTCATTCTGTTGTGACTAATTTTGTTCAGTCTTATGTATGATTTCATATCTTAGAATTATTTCTGCAATTCCTGTTGCTGTTTTATTACAGAGATTTTCTCATGGGCATGTTATTATTATTGTCTGTGGTGGGTGGTAATGGTGGTGGTGGTGTTGTTATTTGGTACCAGGGATCAAACTTGGACCTTGCTCTTGCAAAGCAGGCAGTGGCACCACTGAGCTAAATCCCCGGCCCCCTTTCAGGCTTTTATATTAAAAACTTTTTTATATAAAGGGGTATTCCAATATTTCATGTTTAAGACAGGGTCTCACTATGTAGTCTAGGCTTGCCTCGAACTCAGGACGATCCTCCTGCCTCACATTCCAAGTGCTGAGATTAGAGGCGTGTGCCACTATACTTGGTTTCCAATATGTTATTGTTCATTTCTTACTGTATTTGCTCTTTCGAAATTATGAAATTAATTACATGTCCTTTCAGAAATGAGGTCATTATCAGAGCTACTAGGCCCATATGGAATGAAGTTCCTAAGTGAAAGCCTTATGTGGCATATTTCATCACAAGTTGCTGAACTTAAGGTAATATTGTCTTTACCAGTTTTACTTTTTAAACAGTAGTTCCTGAAAAGAGTTTCAGAAGTTTGTACAAAAGCCTAGAATACATCTTTAACTTACCATGAAAATACTAACATGTAAATGAAATTAAAGAGTTATCAGAACCTTTTGGTATCATTTAGTTTAGCTATCTCTCTTTTGCAAGTGAGTAAATGGGGAGCCAAAAGAGAGGATTTGACTTGCAAAAGGGGACTGAAATTCAGATTTTGTGGCTTTTTAAGCTCTCTGTCTTTGTCACTCACATCTTTGAACCAAAACACTCAACACCCACAACTAGAAGGAGGAAAGGTTTATTTTAAGGAAAACCTCCCTTATTAAAAGGAGGAAGACCATACCAGTCTTTGGTCACCTGGCTTGAGGGCAGAAACAGCATGGTGGAAGGGCTGGCATGGAATCCCTGCTTATCCAGTGGCAACCAAAAATTGGAGAGAGAGGGAGGAACTGGGGTAAGAATATATCCTTCCAGGTCCTGCCCTCAGTGGCCCACCTCCCACCAAGACCCACCTCTTAACAACAGATAGTCAACTTTAACACCCCCAGGATCTGGTTACTTTTCACATACATGATAATTTGGCAGAACATTTTAGATCTAGCCATATCATTCTACCCCTGTCTTCTAAAAGTCTCAGGTTCATCTTGTTATTTAAAATACATTTAGTCCATCTCCTAGAGTCACCAATGTTTTAATAGTTCCTACAGTGCTAAAAAGTCGAAGTCCAAATTTTCCTCTGAGACTCAAGACAAACTCTCCACTATAAGTCCCTATAAAAATCAGAAAGAAAACCAAACACTACCAACATAAAATGGCACAGAATAAATATTCCTGTTCTAAAAGGAAGGAGTAAGTAAATAGAAATGAATAGGCGCTGAGAAGCTCATTAGCCCAGGACAAACCCTAAATCCTATAGCTCCAGCACCCAGGGAATATTGTGGCCACATGTGAAAGCCAAATGACTTGGGCAGCCCTGTCCCCATGGGATTGCTAGTTACACTTCTCATGACTTTTCTTTTCCAGTGGCTTTCTTCAGATGTTCCATGTTTTCAGCGTTTCCAACTTCCTAGGGTCTCTACTACACATTTGACTTCACTCTCACAGCTTCACACTGTCCTCAGGCATACTACCTGGCCGCCCCCCAGGCCTTATTCCAAAATCTGGGTGGAAACCTCAATGACCCCATAAATCTTGGAATTTTTGCATGCTTCTAAAACATGGACAATGCCAAAGTCTGTTGCCCACTCCAGCAGTAGCCAGGCCCCCTGGTATCATGGCTGCAGAAGTCTGAGTACATAGATGGCAGGGCACTCTGAAATGAATTCTAGGGAATTGGCTCCTTAGGTGGCTCTTGAGCAGTGGGCCCAAGGCCTGTCTTCTCAAATGAAAGCTTTACACTTTTGCACCCTTGAGCTTATGAAGGGTGGGGCAGCTTGTTGATCCTGAGATGCTTCCACGCCATCCTTCCTATTATCCTAATAAAAATAACTTGACTTCTTTTTAATGCTAATCTTTTTAGCAACTGTGTTCTCCTTTTGCCCCACATTTGGAGGCACTTCCTTTTTGAAGAAACTGAAAACTTTTCACATCAGCTTTTTTATTCCTGATTCTTCATGTACATCTGACTGAAAGCTGCCAGAAGTATCTCTGCCACAGCCTGAATGTTGGGCTGTTTTGAAATTCCTTTTGCCAGCCTTAATCTTGATCTTCAAAATTCTAGGATATGGGCAAAATGTAGACAAATTTTGTGCCAGAGAATTACACTTGTCCTTGAGTCCAACTGCCCGTAGAGTCCTGTTCCAAATGGAAACCCCCTGGACCTGGCCTTTACTGTCTACATTTCTGGTAGCATTTTGGTTTTCTGAGCTCTGATCAGAATTTCCTATCAAACACAGCTTAGTGCATTGTAGGGCTTCTTTAACCAGCAGTGACTCACTTCTTGTTACCAAAATCTGTCCTGCTTACTTTCTCATTGCTGGGATAAAGTATCCAACACCCACAACTTGAAGGAGAGGTTTATTTTGGTTCACATTTTCAGTCCATGGTCAGAAATAGGGTAAAAGAGCCTGTTTGGGGGACACACCTGCTCATCCCATGGCAACCAGGAAGTAGAGAGAATTAGAAGGTTCTGGGGACAAGAATACATTATTCCAGGTCATTCCTTCAGTGATCCATCTACACCCAGTCTCCATTTCCTAACAGCAGATCAGCATTACCCCCATGACCCAGTCACCTTCCACACACATAAGAATTAGGGAGTAAACTTTAGGTCTAATCTTAACACTTTTGTTATCTCATGGTGCTTTTGTTTGAATGATCAGATTCAAAATTGTAGCCAAAGTTAATTGTGTAGTTATAGTTGAATATATTGCTGTCCACAAATTGTGATACAAACATTATTAGACTTAGTGTGCAAACTCTCTCTTCCTTTCTTTCCTTTTTTCATCCCTATCTTTTTTGGTTCTGAGGATTGAACCCAGGACCTCACACATGGTAGGCATACAGTGTTTTTCTTTATCGTCCCAAACTATTTAATGTGAGTAAAGAAATATTTTCAGAATGTATAGGATTTAGATAAAGATGTAAAAGACAATGGCATTCCAAATACCTTTTAGCCTTTTAGAAGTATGTCAGTGCTAAGGTGATTTTGTATTGAATGAATCTGTATATATAGTAACTGTCTTTTGAGAGAATTTGAACTTAGACTACTAAAATTTTGGGGACTTGTGAACAGATAAAAAAGATGTGAAATGTTTTAAAATGACCTTTTTTCTGGATTTTTGGTGGTTATTTGTGCCTTGCAGTTTTAATTACTTAAAATTATGCATAGCTTTGATAATTAGTTTGCCTTTCAAATATAGCACTAGAATTCTGATTGAGGTAATCTGATTCGCTGGAAATTCACCAAATGCACAGAATAAGGTAATTCTCAAAGAATAATAATGTTTGCTGAGGTAGCAAGAGTCAGTTTGATAAACTTAAGATGTTTAGTTGTTTAAAAAGAATAGAAACTCTGGCTTTCAAGTCAGATTATCCTGAGTTCAGTCTTACCACTTAAGGGCAAATATTTAAATTTACTAAGCTTTTCACTTTGTGAGGATACATGTAAAGTTTTTAGGTTCTTAGCATAATATTTGGGATATAGTAAGTACTCAATAAATGTTATTTTGATGCCTCCCCCCAGCCTGTTGAGGGAATATTAAATTAGGTGTTAAGTTGAGACATTATTTAAGTAGCCCAGAGAGAACACTGTCATCAGAGACTATACAAATTGAAATGAGCACATAAATGTGACTAGAATTGAACTTGTGATTAGGAGAATAATGAAAAGTTATCTGGAGTAATACCACAGTAATCTAAATAAAACTCGTACTTGTGTTTTAGAAAAAATTATTTCTGTAGCTTTTCTGTATAGTTTTTCATGTTTCTCTTAAATCACTTATCTACCTTTGATTTGTAACAAAACTACCATGGCACTTTAATGATATTCTAGCTACGTCTTCCCACCAAGGTGGCATGAAGCATAGATATAAAATGTAGAAAGTGCTCCATAGGTGGTTGTCATGTTTAGTAAAGGTAAGAATCACTATAGAAAGACAAAAGTAAAATTTTGATTTAAAAGAATTTAATAGATAAATAGAAACCTGAAATTAACTCAAATTCTTTTGAATCAGGAAAAAATAGGAAAGTGGTAGTGGTGAACTTAATTTATAAAAGAATTTGGCACAGGTAACAGTATAACACAGATTAGGATATCAAACTCATTTTTCCTCCTCATTATTTTAGAAACTCAGTCTTGGGCCGGGGATTTAGCTCAATGGTTCTGCCACCTGCTTTGCAAGTATAAGGTCCCACGTTTGATCTCTGGTACCAAAAAAAAAGAAAAAAAAGAAACTCAGTCTTATTGTTGTCTGGCAGGCTTATCTTTGCCAGAATGAAATTAATTAGTTTTAGTTACAATTCTAAATGGAATCACTTTTCCATTGCTTCTGTTAGCAAAAAAAATTTTTTTAGTACTGGGGTTTGCTCTCAGGACCTTGTGCTTGCAATTGCAAGGCAGGCATGGTGCCACTAAGCTAAATCCCTGGCCCCAGTAAAAATACTTTTAATGAGTCATATTTTTATCTTTCATTCTTTTCCCTTATTTGTATCTCTTCTTTTTTTTCTCTTCCCTCTTCCCAGTGCTTCCTGAGAGAAAAGTAGATTTTATAATGTGCTGGGAAACCTGAGTACCATAGTCCAAGTCACTGCCTCAGTAGATTTTGTACATCAGCATGTGCTCATTGTCTGAAGATAGGCTCGACTAGACTATCTTTGGTCAAATTTTATCTTTAGCAATTTATTTTATTTTGGCCAGAATTTGTTGCTTTCTGTGTCCACTTTTAATGTTCAGTTTTTATTATTGAAACTATTCTCTATCAGAGCATAAGATGTTCCTTTATCTTACTGTTTTTTTCCTAAATTCTTGAATTTGCAAACTTAAAGAAAAATATTAAGACAATGTAAAGAATTTTATAATTCTTTCATTCAAATAACAAAAATATACAGCATAGAGCATCTGGATTTCATGAATTGTGTTTTTCTACTTGCCAGACTTTAATTTCCAAGCATGCTTTTATTAACACAGAGGTATGTGCCTGACCTAGGATTTTTCTTTTCTTTTTAGAAACTTGTGGTGGAGAATGTTGATGTACTAACACAAATGAGGACCAGCTTTGACAAACCAGACCAGATGGCTGCACTCTTTAAGAGATTATCATGTGGGTTACCCATGTACCTTCTTATCAACATTAAGATGTTGACACACAGTATTTTATCTTTGACTCAGAATTTATACCATGAATACAAGCAGTAAATTAGGAGAAATACTCTTTAACTTAAATGAAGCAAACTAAAGAATTTTTGTAATCAGAGGGTCTTTTCTAGTACATGGCTATTTCAGAAGTTTTTTGATCGTACTTTTAATATATGTCCTTTATTTAATAAATGTCATTGATATCAGTTAGTTCTTGAACCCATTAAACAATGCAGTAAATCTACATTAATTAAGATTAAAAGAGAATTCACTTCTGAGCCTATAACTTTCCACACATCAACTTTCTGAGGTATAATTTACATGGAATAAACTACACACATACAAAGAATAATATGGTTTAGATACTGGCAAGAATATACATTTGTATAAACATAGCTGTCATCAAAATACAGAATAGTTCTGTCACCTCAGAAAGTTGCCTCCTGTCTTTAATATCTAGACTCCTACCTTTGGCCCCTAAACCCAGACAACCACTGATGTGATTTCTGTCACTAATTTAAAGTTGTTTGGCCTCTTTCACTTAGCGTAGTGTTCTTTGAGGTTCACTTATCAGTGTTGTTAATTGAATCTCTAATCTGTTCCTTTTTTATTGATTACTTGCATTTTGTTCCGTGGACACCTTACCCTATAACTTAAAATTTTCTTTAAATATATCCTTGATATTGATTATGGGAGGGATAATATGAACTAACAGAACCTTAAGCATTTATTAACATGTCTTTAGCTTAATGATTTTTGGGTACATTTGAAAGTTTTATTTTCCGTACTTGAACCACCCCCCCTTTTTTGGTACAGATGATCGAACTCTGGTCCTTGGGCTTGTGAAGCAGGCAGCAGAACCACTGAGCTAAATTCCCAGCCTCTGAAAAGTTATTTTGAAGTTACACTTTATCAGTTACTTAAGACTAAAAAAATGAGTGAAATCCTGAATAAAATTTTATTGGAGAAAACCAGAGAGTTTATTTTCCCTATTAAAATTAACCCTGGCAGCTAAGGTTGTAGCTCAGTGGTAGAGTGTATACCTAGTATGCTCAGGGCCCAGGTTCGGTCCCCAGCACCAACAGTAATAATAGTGATGATTTGAAGAAAAAGCCACACTTCTCATTTGATAGTTTTCCTTTAAATGCTTTAGCGAATCACTTTATTAATCTGTCTTTTAAAGATTTCAAAAATAAAAACATAATAAGAACTACCATTAAATTAAAACACAAGTAGAACATATCAGGAGTCACTAGAACTATAAAGGAAAGCAGTAAGGGAGCTTTTTTGGGTGATGGAACCATTGACCATAGTGGTGATGATGGTACACAATCTACACATGTTAAAATTCCTAGAGCTATGCACCAAAAGGAATATAAAGGTCATGTTGATTGCATAATACTTTTTATATTTTATATAATTGGTGTGACTTGCAAATCTTGGTGTCCCTATTCATTGTTTTCTGACACTTTGTCTTGTGGCTAGGATCATCAGTTTTTTAACTTCTGATTCTAGTCCAGTGGTCCCAAGCCTTTTTGGGACCATTCAGCAGTTTATGGAAGACAGTTTTTCCACACATGGGATAAGGGTTGTTTTGGAAGTGTATTTAAGTGTTGTTTTCAAGTGTATTTCCTTTATTGCATACTTTATTTGTATTATTATATTGTAACATATAGTAAAATAATTACACAATTCACTATAATAATGCAGAATAAATGGGACCCTTGAGCTTGTTCTCCTGCATGTAGATGGTTCCATCTCTAGGTCCCATCTAGATATCCGGTGTCTGATGGGAGGCAGTAATACCTGAAGTGTATTGCTTATGTTCAGTCTACTCCATGGTCTTGTTTCTGCTGCTGTAATTGCAAAAAACCCTGTATCACAAAGATACAATGTTGGAAATGGAAGCAGGTATTTCACTTCCTTTGTGACAACTTCAGGATATTCTGCTTTTTCTCAAATATACTTTAAAGGCTACCATCATTTGTGATCTCTTGCAGTTGGTTCTTTTCTAGCACAGAGTTGATTTGCTTGGCTTATTCATAAGTGGATTATGGATCCATTCCTTCCCAATTCAGGGGACTTTTGTAGTTGGGAAGTAATGTTCTGACTATTCTGAAAGCTGAAATAGGTGATCTTGCACGCATCAGCTGAGAAAAAGAAGGCCCTGGCTTAAATGTCTTTCAGAACCTATGCTAATATTTGAAACATGCCAAAAATCCCAGTATTCACCCATTGCCCCCACAATTGGCTTTGAGTGCAGCCACTTCATGTGCTGATTTGAACACAGCTGTTCACCTCTGAAGTGGCAGATTTTGTTTCTTGAGAAGGTTGAATATATCACAAGAATAAACACATTCTGTGACCCATTCTGTGTTGCTGAAATGTGCTCCCAATGGTGACTGCTTTTGTAAGTAAGTCTCTGAAGCAGCTCTCTTAAGTGAAAAACTCTGGCCAATGATCTGCCTTTAGAAAGCCATCTTCTGCGTGTAAGAAAAGGTCTGTGTATTCTGTATTCATCTCAACCATGCAAATAGATACAAGTTAAAGGCATGTACGTCAGTGTGGTTGATGTTTATCACATCCTGCAAAAACATTGTTAAGTTTAGGTGACATTTTTTTGGCTAGCCAGCATTTCTCATGGGTGACACAGGGTCGGCTCACATTCAGAAGCGACCTCTTTGACTGGAGTGTTGCAACCAGAAAGCCATCCAGTCTGAACATCCACTCTGTACATATACCAACCCCACATGGCAGTTCAGTCTTCTGATATGTAATCAATTCAGAGACTTGAATACTTCTGTAGCTGTGGTATTGTGTGGCCATAAAACTGCATAATATACCCACACAAACATCTTCCTGAAAAATAGTGCATAAAAACAAGCATTGTTGTCTTCTTGTCAGTCTCAAGTGCTTTTGAAATTCTGAATTTCCATTTTGAATCCAGTTATGGTGGTGTTCACTGTAATCCCAGGACTCGGGAAGCTGAGTCAGGAGGATTGCTTCAAATTTGAGACCAGCCTGGGCTACATAGTTGAAGGCCAGCCTAAACTAAATAGCAAGACCCTGTCTGAGGAAAAAAAAAATCTATAAATTTCCCTTTTGAGGGATCACATGGCAGTTTGGGGATGGAAGGAAAGAGATGTTAGCTTTCCCCTTGTGTGCAGGACTTAAATTTAACCATTTTTGCACCACAGATGTAGTTGCCTATGATGCAGGAGCAGTCGTTTGGCCTGAAATGGGGTTTGAGTGGGTTGGTTTCATCGCTGATCTGGGGTATAGTAAGTACCTCTTTACCAGTCAGTCCTCCAGCTTACTCCCCATCCCATTGTCTTTTTTTCCTTGGAGACAGCAAGAGAGGCAGGATTTTCTCCTCCACCACCCACTTCCAGCTCTGCCTCTCTTTAGTATCTGTTTTAGTCTAATTGTATTAATAATACCTTTTTAGTGCAGATTTTATGACAACATATTGTTCAAGATTAAGAAATAAATTCACTCTTATTTTCCTCTCTTCCCCATTCTTCAAATTTAGCTGTTGACAGTGTGTTGAAGAGGATGACAATAATTGGTGTGATTTTATCCTTCCGATCATTGGCACAAGAAGCACTTAGAGATGTAAGAACCATTATGAGTACATAACTCTGTATCCAAATGGCCCTTTTTTAATTTCCTAGAAATTTTTAAATTCACAATTGGCATAGCTATAACTGAAATTCCAGCTTTTATAGCTCTAGAAAATAAAATATGTGGGAAGAGTTTAAATTCATCTTTGGATGTTGAAATTTGGATGATATAAAATTAACTTTGTTATTGTATTTTTAAACTTTTCTGTTTGTTAGAACATTTTGTTTTGACTGTATGATTTAACTTGAATACATTCTATTTCAATGTATTTTTATACTTTAGAAAAATCACGTGAAAATAGATGAATAAATATAATAAAAAAAGAATTAATCATTGTAATATTTCATAATATTAAGAGGTTACCATTTAGAACTGATTCTCTATTCTTATTTGTTCTCTGCTTAGGTCTTGTCCTACCACATTCCTTTTCTTGTAAGTTCAATTGAAGATTTTAAGGACCACATTCCAAGAGAAACTGATATGAAGGTAATAATGTAATATCTTTTTATATTTTATAGTTTCTAAACTAAAATACTTAAATTGCACATGAAATAAAATGTTATAAATACTAAACTGTGAAGTTTTTATTTTGCAATGAATGTGCTTGCCTTTGGAATTATATCTTTGTGAGCTTATCACCAAAATACTACTGAAGGTGTTTTAAAAGTCACTCTTCTTTGTTCACCCCTAGCCATGTAAAATTGGCTAAAAATTGATTTTTTTCCCTTAAACTGATATTTATACATACTTATAAAGCAGAATGTGCGCGATGAGCTAGTGAAGTGAGTATTGTTTTAAAATATATGTTTAAAGTCTCATAAAAGGATGTTAACTGTAGGGCAGGTAGGAAATTTTATGTACCAACTCCACACAAAAGTGTAAATATGTACACACATGTATTAGTAAAAAATCAAATTAAAGTTTTTTAATATTTCATTTCAAATCCATAACTGTAAGAAGGTTGACAGCCATATGTGAGTCCACAGATTTTGTTTGAAAATTTATTGAGCCATTAAATCCAACCACTGACCTAACAGTAGCAGCTATCTACTAATGGTTGTGCCTCTAGTATGTGATATACACCAGAACTCATACCTGTGTAGTCTAAATGTGAGATTTTTAGAGGGATTGTTTTCTGTTTTGCATATTTTGAAAAACTCTGGCTTAAAAAAAAAGTTAAAGTTTACACTTTTTTGTGAGACATTTCTCAAATTACAGTCATTGAAACTTCGAGAATTTCACCACCCATTTCTTCCTTTTCCCGCTCTCTTCCTGTTCCTGTTCTTTCTGTTCACATGTACGCTGTGATGTAACCAGGTCTCTGTGCATTCTCACATGCATCTGTTTTGTCTTCTTCATTTTCTCTACTCAAAAACACTGCCTTTGCCAGGCATGGTGGCGCACACCTGTAATCCTGGCCGGCACTTGGGAGGCTGAGGCAGGACAATCGCTGAAATCTTGTTAGTCTTTTATAGCCAGATCTAATTGTTCTTTTTTGGTGCTGCATTGTGATTCGAACCCAGGGCCTTCACCCTGGGCTATATCCTCGCCCCTTTTTATGTTTTTATTGTGACACAGAGTCTTGCTAAGTTGACTGGGCTGGTCTCAAGCTTGCAGTCCTCTGTCAGCCTTCCAGAGTGCTAGGATTGCCATTTTTCTAAGAACCATCCCTAGAATTCTCCAGTGATAAAGAATTTTTTTTATACTGTTGCCAGAGAACTTTCTGTTTAATCTACTATAGAATTAAACATATCTTTCCTTGGATTACAGTTGTGTTTTTCCATTTATATTACTACTAGACTGTGAACATATTAAAGACCAAGACCTTATTTCTTTTAATTTTTGTGTTCCCTATAGAGCTTTATAGAAATAAAGACTTGAGATCCGAGATTGTCCTTTGATTTTAATATTGGAAACTATACACACACACACACACACACACACACACACACACGCACAGCTCAAAATACCCTAAGTGGAAACTACAGAAAATATAATACTAAGAAAACTTTAATGTTCTTTGTGAACATGTGTTTTCATTTCTCTTGGTGTATTCCAAGAGTAGGATTGCGTGGTCATAGAGAAATTGTGTATTTAGCTTTTTGAGGAACTGCCAGACTGTTTTCAAAGTGAATACTTTCTCACCAGCAGTGTGTAAGCGTTTCATGTTTTCTGTATACTCGCAAATACTTTTCCTCTTGATTATAGCTGTACTAATAAGTGTAAAGTGGTATCTCATGTTGTGTTTGCGTTTCCATGATAGATGATAAACATCCTTTCATGTATTTGTTGGTATTTACGTATCTTTAGAGAAATGTAGTATTATCTTGGACATAAGTCCAGTAACAGGTATCTGATTTGTAACATTTTTTTCCTTATTCTTTGAGTTGTTCTTGGTTTTTTTGGTTGGGTCTTCTGAAGCACAAAAAAATTTAATTTCACTGCAGTCCATTTTGTGTTTTCTTTTCTTTGTGCTTTTGGTATTGTGTATAAGAAATCATTGCCTAACTCAGTGTCATGATGAATTATGCCTGTATTTCCCTCCACAAGTTTTATTGTTCTAGCTCTTATATTTTGATCTTTGGCCCATTTTGAGTTCATTTGTGTGTGTGGGATAATATATCCCAAATGTGTTTGTCTAGAATATAATGTATGGCATGATTGCATTCTAAGCTGTACAGTCTTATTTCTGAGGTTTTTTTATTGCAGTGTAAGAGGCAACCAATTGTGTAGATAGGTTTTAATTATAGTTTTGAGCAATCAATATCTTGAATAGTCAAAATCTTTTGTGATGCAGAAAGATTACATTAGTCATTTCGTAAGATCGTAAAATTAATACTTCAGAATTTATTGTAATGTGTAATTTGCCGTATTTATAGATATGTGATTGAGCATTAAACTACTATGATTTTTTGATAAAAAATTATATTCTGTAATCTAGCAATCTTGTTTCCTTTTGGTCATTCATCTCTTTAGACTTGATATTTTTACATTTATACCGTCAGGAAAAATTGTAACTTTAGAATAATTATCTTACAATCTGCCACAAAAAGTTTTCAAGTTTTGTTTTGGCCTAACGTTAGGAAGTTATAACTAGTAGCGCATCACAGAGTACTTCAGTTTTTGATGTAGGTTATGTATGTATTATGTTTATGGTTCCTGCTTCAACCAAGTTTTAGAAATTCTCTAATGTTTTTATAAGTAGACTCTGATTTGACCAATAAATATTTTCTTATAAAGTAAACTTTCTCAGAAATTTGTTAGAATATTTTATACTCTGTAATTGTATTTTTTCAGGTTGCAATGAATGTGTATGAGTTATCGTCAGCTGCTGGATTACCTTGTGAGATTGATCCTGCCTTGGTGGTAGCTCTTTCTTCACAAAAATCAGGTAAAATGTATTAGTAAATATACAGTGCTATTATTAAAATTGCCAGGGCCACATAGGTATAGGTATGGTATTATTCAAATGCCTGCTTTGTATTAAGCTGTACTATCATTATCATTGGTAATTAGAATGTTGTGTATTAGGGCTGAGGATTTAGCTCAGTGGTGCCGCTGCCTGCCTCACAACTGCCAGGACCCGAGTTCAGTCCCTAGTTACCCTCCCCAGAAAAAAAATATACACACACACACATAGATAGAAAGAAAGAACGAACGAACACATACATATATAATATATCAGTACAGGAAAGACAAAGATCCCTGCCTTGAACTCGTGCTGTAGCATCATTGTTATGGAGATGTTAAGCCTTAGGACTGGATGAAGTTAACAAAGCACTTAGTTTGGGTAGATGTAGCAATGCAGAAAATCAAAGTTGGAACCTTCAGCCACTCCAATTTTAAGACCCCAGAGCAAGAGAAAGAACCACTAAAACAACAACAATAATATTAGCGACAGTGAGAGAGAAGAAAAGGCCTTTCCCTCCATCTGGCCTGGTGGACAAAGGGCAGGGGGACCATCTCTAAATATTTTCTTATAAAGTAAACTTTCTCAGAAATTTGTTAGAATATTTTATACTCTGTAATTGTATTTTTTCAGGTTGCAATGAATGTGTATGAGTTATCGTCAGCTGCTGGATTACCTTGTGAGATTGATCCTGCCTTGGTGGTAGCTCTTTCTTCACAAAAATCAGGTAAAATGTATTAGTAAATATACAGTGCTATTATTAAAATTGCCAGGGCCACATAGGTATAGGTATGGTATTATTCAAATGCCTGCTTTGTATTAAGCTGTACTATCATTATCATTGGTAATTAGAATGTTGTGTATTAGGGCTGAGGATTTAGCTCAGTGGTGCCGCTGCCTGCCTCACAACTGCCAGGACCCGAGTTCAGTCCCTAGTTACCCTCCCCAGAAAAAAAATATACACACACACACATAGATAGAAAGAAAGAACGAACGAACACATACATATATAATATATCAGTACAGGAAAGACAAAGATCCCTGCCTTGAACTCGTGCTGTAGCATCATTGTTATGGAGATGTTAAGCCTTAGGACTGGATGAAGTTAACAAAGCACTTAGTTTGGGTAGATGTAGCAATGCAGAAAATCAAAGTTGGAACCTTCAGCCACTCCAATTTTAAGACCCCAGAGCAAGAGAAAGAACCACTAAAACAACAACAATAATATTAGCGACAGTGAGAGAGAAGAAAAGGCCAGTAAAGTCCAGTAAAAACTACAAAAGATAAAAAGTAAAAATAAAAGGCTGGGGACTTAGCTCAATGGTGCTGTGACTGCCTAGCAAGTGCAAGGTCCTGAATTCAATCCCCAGTACCACGCCCCCCAAAAAAAATAACCTAGGAAAGAGTAGGTTCCAAGAAAGTGGGAAGAAAAAACTGTTTTTCAATTGAAAGTAAAAGTGGGAAGGGGATGATCAGCTATATACAATATGCTGACAAAATCAATGTCAGTAGATGGTAAATGGCAAAGAACTGAGTAGAGAGCACTTCTTGGTGAGTAGGGAAAAACAAGAGTTTTAGTATAAAAAGGAACAAAGACATGGGCCAGGGATTTGACTCAGTGATTCCGCTCCATGCCTTGCAAGTGCAAGGACCTGAGTTTGATCCTTGGTACCAAAAAGAGGTGGGGGATAAAGACAGACAAGTATCAGCAAGAGGCATGGACGGTAGTGCTGGTGCTCAAACCCAGGGCCTCATGAACCCCAGGCACATGCTGTACTATTGATCTACACCTCAAGACCATGAGAAGTATTTTGGAGATGGGAAAGATAACATTATTTTTTACTAGGAAGTGGTCCATTTGATAACAAATAATTGATATCTGGAAAAAGGTGTCCCATTTTAATAGTGGACTAGAGTTACTGTCCATAAAGAGTTTGTGCTTTTTATATAATATCAGACATTTACAATTTTTAAAATTACATTACATTATTTGCACTATTTAAAATTTAATCAAACATTTACAAAATGCAGTATCTAGGATGCTCTAGATCAGTGGTGGTGAACCTATGGGATACATGTGGCAGCCAGCTGTTTGTTGTCATTGAAAGCTTTAAAAGTTCACCAACTGCCCTAGATCATTCTGCATTTACAGATTCAATGTAAATAGCATTTCATCTCTTTCTGGTACTGAGGTTGCCCCCGGGGACCCTGGAGGCAATAATATTAGGGTATTTGCGTGAGTGTATCAGATTTTGTCTCATTGAGGAATAGCAATGCTTTTGGTTTCTTTATTCATATAATATGTTACTATAGTTATATAGATAAATACTACTAGATTTGCTACTGCATTTTTATTTTTTTTTTTTTGGTACCGGGGATCAAACTCACACCCTTGGACTTGGAAGGCAGGCAGTGGAACCACTGAACTAAATCCCCAGCCCTGCTACTGCTTTTGTAAAAATAACCAAAAGTTTAAAATATGTGGCTTTTTTCTTATGTTCAATTCTTAGTTGTATATGAGAAGATAACTATAAATTCCTAGGTAGCAGATAAGAAGTCAAGTAGACTAGATAGCTCACAATTTGAGTCCATGTTACGAGGGATATTTTAGGGAGAGTTACTATCTTAAAAGCTTTAGGGCATTACTAGATACTTCCATTCATAACTGAACCCTCTGTCATTAGGAAGGGAATGATTAGAAATGCAGTGCATTTTCCACATTTATATCTTTTAAATACTATTTTATAATCATCTTACAAAAAAATTAAAATTTTGGTGATTTTGCAGAATAATTTACAAGATAATACATTTTCAGTATTGTAAATGGAATTTTCTTGTAAAATAATTTCCTATTAGTTTGTTAGGCAATTTTAGGATTCACATCTCCTAACTATAAATTTTTTTAAAATTTTATTACTATTTTTTTGGTACCAGGGGTTGAACTTGGGCCCTTGAGCTTGCAAGGCAGGTGGCGGAACTACTGAGCCAAATCCTTGGCCCTATAATTTTTACTGTATACTTTATAATTTAAAATAATAAAATCTTGCTTTACTAGTTTTTTTCGAGGTTTTTTTTTTTTTTTTTTTTTTTTTTTTTTTTTTTGGTATTGGGGATTTTACTCAGGTCCTTGCGCTTGCAAGGCAGGCTACTGAACCGCCGAGCTAAATCCCTGGCCCGGAGGTTTTTGAAATATGCCTGAGTAGATAATAGCCAGTACTGATAAATATATTTCTTCATTTTACTTTATTTTCTCTTAGAAAATATTAGTCCAGAAGAAGAATATAAAATTGCCTGCCTTCTCATGGTCTTCGTAGCAGTTTCTTTACCAACACTGGCTAGTAATGTGATGTCTCAGTACAGCCCTGCTATAGAAGGTAACAGTGGTTTAAAATTATTTTGGTGGTGGGAAATCACTAGTTGTGGCATAGATGATACTTTTCAAGTAATTGATGCTCATTTGTAATAAAACACAGATTAAGTTCTGCTAGTTATAACCTGCCATTGTATAACCTGAGGTAGTCTATTTTTCTATTTTGAAATCCCAGTTTTCTCACATATGCAATGTGTGTAAATGAGCTCAGACATCTAAATGTGTGCATGGCAGAAGTTGGTGAGGGAATATCCAAAGTTATCATAGGATTATATTAAGGATTAAATGATAAAATGGTCAGCTCACACTTTCAAGTTTCCAAGATGGTAGGAATTTTATAAAGTACCTGTTTGATATAATACAAAACAGATCATTGTTGCTGCCTTGCTACACTATTTTTGAAAACACTAGTTCCCATGAAGGTAAAAGGAGAGCAAGTCAGTTTGTATCCCATCTCTACATTTAACCACATCACTATGTAAATTGTGAAATCATTAAAGCATTGCCTTCAATAAATTCCTCGGTATTTTGGGCCACAGAATCTGTACAACCGTGTTATACTTTCTTAGGGCACTGCAACAACATACATTGTTTGGCTAAAGCCATCAACCAGATTGCTGCAGCTTTGTTTACAATTCACAAAGGAAGCATTGAAGACCGTCTTAAAGAATTTTTGGCGGTATGTATCATCAAATAAAACTCATGACATTTTATAAAGAAATCTAAAAATTAGGACTATGAGATAAAACAGTAAATTCCCTTTTGTTTTACTTTATTGCATTTTGGGGTAGTTTTGATCTTCAAATTCTTTCTCAAATATGTGAATTCATTTTCTTTTTAAGAGAAGAACTGGTGAAATCCCAGTGTATGAAAATTAAGGAACAGTTTATAATTTTTCCCCTCTGAATCACTGACTTGTGGAATTCTGCAGTGTGAGTTTACCCACCCCCCCAGCCACCATACTGTCCTAGAAGTTTTCCTATAGTTTTATTTTTTTATTTATTTTTTAATTGAGTTTATTGGTACATTTTAGGTATACAGTACACTTACATTCATTATTGGGATCTTGTACCTTTACATAACAGGTCTTGGTTCTCATTTTTTCCCCTTAACCCTGCCCTCCCTTCACCCCCTCCTCCCCTCCCTGTTTACTAACACTTTATTTCCATTTCTTCATTTTCTCCTATTTTTTTCTTTTCCTTTATTACCTTTACCCTACCCTTCCCACTTTCCCTATACCTTTAGCCCTTTTCTTCCTATTTCACATTGTCAATTATCTCATTAGTATCTTATGTAATGTTATACTTTTTCACACGAGAGAAACTATTCGGTATTTAGGAGTATAGCCTCAATATGTATCCGTTTTCCGATGAATTAATCTAATTTCTCATTCTTTGTTGCTGAGTAGTATTCCATTTTATAGAAAAACCACATCTTCTTTATCCAGTTTCCAACTGATGGGCAAATGAGCTGTTTCCAAGTTTTAGCTATTACAAACTGTGCCGCTATAAACATGGGTGAGCATATATCACTGTGGTATGATTCTTTTAATTCTTTTGGAAAGATACCCAGCAGAGGGATGGCTGGGTCAAATGGAACCTCTAGTCCCAGCTCTTTGGTATATCTCCATTATTGATTTCCATAGTGGTTGCACCAGTTTGCACTCCCACCAACAGTGGAGAAGGGTTCTCTCCCCACAACCCCACTGACATTTGTTATTGATTGATTTCTTGCTAGCAGCCCTTCTTTGTGGGGTGAGGTGGAATCTCAGTGTTTTCATCTGCATCTCTCGAATGACCAGTGATGTGGAGCATTTTTTCATATATTTACTCGCTGTTCTTTGTCTGAGAAATGTCTGTTCATTTCAGATGCCCATTTTTGAATTGGGTCTTTATATTTGGGGGGCTGATTGTTTTGAGTTCTTTATATATTCTAGATAAGAGTCCTTTGTCTGAGGAGCAGCTGATAAAAATTTTTCCCGCATGTAGGTTGTCTCTTAGTTCTATTGATGGTTTCTTTTGCAGTGCAGAAGCTTCTTAATAAGATGAGGTCCTAGTTGTTGATTCTTTCTGCTAGTTCCCGTGCTACTAAGGATTTGTTCATAAAATCTTTTCCTATGCTAATGTCTTCAAGAGTTCTGCCTAACTTATCTTCTAGCAAGTTTAGTGTTTCTGTTTTAATATTTAGATCTTTAATCCACTTGGATTTTAATTTAGTGCATAGTGAAAGATAAGGATCCAGTTTTAATCTTTGGCTGTCTTTGCTCCTCTGAGGATGGTCAGTTCCTTTGTGAAAGATGACGTAGCTGAGTACATCTGGATTTGTTTTTGTGTCTTCCAATCTGTTCCACTGATCCTTAGATCTGTTTCATTACCAGTACCATGCTGTTTTTATCACAGTGGCTTTGTAGTATAGTTTCAAATTGGGAATTGCTGTATCTGCTACCATGTTTCTGTTGCCTAGGATGGCTTTTGCTATTCTAGGTCTCTTATGGTTCCAAATGAATTTTTGGATTCTTTTTTCTAGTTTTCTAGTTCAAATATACTGTTGGAATTTCAATTGGCATTGCATTGAATCTGTATAGCAGTTTTGGTAGTGTGACCATTTTCACTGTGTTGATTCTTCATACCCAGGAGCAGGGGATATCTTTCCATTTTTTTATATCCTCTTTGAACTCTTTTTTCAGAGTACTGTAGTTTTCAGTATAGAGGTCTTTTGCTTGTTTTATCAGATTGATTCCTAGATAGTTCATTGTTTTGGATGCTATTGTGAAGGGAATTGTTTCCCTAATTTCTCTCTCACTGAGTCTGTTATTTGTGTATAAAAAGGCAATTGATTTTTGGGTGTTCACCTTGTATCCAGCTACTCTACTGAATCTGTTGATTAAGTCTAGAAGTCTTTTAGTGGAGTTTTTTGGGTGTTCAATGTTGAGTTTCATATCGTCAGCAAATAATGACAGTTTAACTTCTTCCTTTCCTATCTTTATTGCTTTAATTTCTTGCTCTTGTCTAATTGCTGTGGCTAATGTTTCCAGAACTATATCAAACCAGAGTGGTGATAGTGGGCACCCTTGTCTGGTTCCTGATTTTAAAGTGAAAGTTTTCATTTTTTGGCCATTTAATATGATGTTGGCTGTTGGTTTTTCATAAATAGCCTTTATTAAGTTGAGATATAGATTATCTATTCCAATTTTTTACAGGGTTTTTATCATGAATGGGTGTTGAATTTTGTCAGATGCTTTTTCTGCATCTATTGAGAGGATCATATGGTTTTTGTCCTTGACTTTGTTAGAGTGTATTACATTTATTGACTTCCGTATGTTGAACCATCCTTTCATCCCTGGAATAAATCCGACTTGGTCAGGATATATGATCTTCTTGATGATCCTCTGTATTCTGTTTGCTAGTATCTTATTAAGGATTTTTGCATCTATATTTATTAAGGAGATTGGCCTGTAGTTCTCTTTTTTAGTTGCGTCTTTCCCTGGTTTGGGAATCAAAGTGATACTTGCTTCCAGGAATGAATTTGGACGTATAGCTTCCCTTTCAATTTCATTGAAAAGTTTGAAGAGTAACGGCAGTAGTTCTTCTCTAAATGTCTTGTAAAATTCAGCAGTGAATCCATCAGGGCCTGGGCTTTTCTTTGTTGGTAAATTTTTAATTACATTTTCAGTTTCACTGATTGTAATTGGGGTGTTTAAAATGTTTTTATCTTCTTTGTTCAACTTTGGTAATTCATAACTATCTAAAAATCTGTCCATTTCTTCTTTGTTTTCCATTTTATTAGAGTACAGGTTCTCAAAACAGGTATTAACGATCCTCTGGATTTCTGTTGCATCTGTTGTGACTTCACCTTTTTCATTCCTGATTGCATGGATCTGAGCCTTTTCTTTCCTCTTTTTTTTTCTGGTACCAGGGATTGAACTCGGGTGCTTGTGCTTGCGAGGCAGGCCACTGAACTGCTGAGCTAAATCCCCGGCCCTCTTTCCTCTTTTGGATAAGGTTAGCTAAGGGTTTATCAATTATACTTATTCTTTCAAAAAATCAACTCTGATTCATTTATTTTTTGTATCGTTTTCTTAGTTTCCATTGCATTGATTTCTGCTCTAATCTTTATAATTTCCTCTCTTGTTTGAGCTTTGGGTTTTCCTTGCTCTTATTTTTCTAGTAGTCTAAGATTCATCATTAGGTTGTTTATTTGAGCTTGCTCTGTTTTCCTAGTGTGGGCATTCAGTGGTATGAATTTTCCACATAGAACTGCTTTCATTGTGTCCCATAGATTCCTATATGTTGTATTGGCATTTTCTAAAATTTTTTTTTTAATTTCCTCTGTGACTCATTGATTGTTCAGGAGAGTGTTGTTCAGTTTCCATGTGTTTGTGAAGTTCCTATGGTTTCTTGTGCTGTTGATCTCCAGCTTGATTGAACTGTGATCTGCTAATATACCGGGGAATAACTTCAATTCTTTTGCATTTATTCAGATCTGTTCTGTGAGCTAGTATGTGGTCTATCTTGGAGAATGACCCATGTGCAGCCGATAAGAATGTATATTCTGATTTTGTGGGGTGGAACACTCTATAGAAGTCTATTGAGTCCATGTATTCAAAAGCTTGGTTCAGTTCTAGTATTTCGTTGTTGATTTTCTGCCTAGATGATCTGTCAATTTGTGATAGTGGGGTATTTGGATCCCCCACTACAATTGGATTAGTGCTTATTTGATTTTTCTTGTTACTTTTAATATTTGTTTTATATTGTTGGGGGTATTAATATTTGGTGCATGTATATGTTTATGATTGTCATCTCTTCCTCTTGAATTGTTCCCTTTACAAGGATATAGTGGCCGCCTTTGTCTCTCTTAAATCAGTTTTGGTTTGAAATTTACTTTGTCTGCAAATAAGATTGCTACCCCTGCTTTTTTCTGGGCTCCTGTCTCATGGAGAATTGTTTTCCATCCTTTCATCTTCAGTCTGTGGGCTTCTTTTTGTACCAGGTGTGTTTCTTATATACAGCATATTGTTGGATTTTGCTTTTTAATCCATTCTGCCAGTCTATATCTCTTGATTGGTGGATTGAGGCCATTGACATTGATGGTTATAACTGATATGTACTTACTTGTTATTGCCATGTTATTGTCCTTTTGTTGACTCTTTTACTCCCCCCACCCCTTTTAATTTCTTGCCTTGCCTATTTGATTTGGTCTGTTGGGCCTCATGGTGTTGTGACCTTCATTGTCTTTTTCTAGGATATTGTTTAGAATTCCTTGTAGTGCTAGTTTTGTGTTCATGACGTTTTTTAGGTTTTCTTACTCATGGAAGTATCTTATTTTCCCATCCATTTTGAAAGAGTTTTGCAGGATACATCAGTCTAGGTTGGAGGTTGTTTTCTTTTAGGACTTGAAATACCTCACTCCAGGCTTTCCTTGACCTGAGGGTTTGTGTTGAAAAGTCTGCTGTGATTCTGATGGGCTTTCCTTTGCATGTGATGTGTTTCTTTTCTCTTACTGCCTGTAGTATTTTGTTCTTCTGTTGGGTTTCTGGGATCTTGATTATTGTATGTCTAGGTGTAGATTTTTTTTGATCGTGGCTAGTTGGAGTCCTATATACCTCACTTATCTGTATGTGTAATTCTTCCCTTCTTTTTGGGAAGTTTTCTGTCATTAATTCTGTGAAGAGCTTTTTTAAGTCATTTGTGTTTTCTCCTACTACTTCATGTTTTTCTGTCAGTCTTATGTTATTCTTCTTTGCGTCATCTAGGAGTTGTTGGATCAATTTCTCATGTGCCCTTCCTGCCTTCCTGTTTTTAAGAGACCTCTCTTTTCATGGTCACTGGCTGCAATCCTATCTTCTGTATCTGAGATTCTATCTTCACAATCTTTTATTCACTTGTGTACTCTTTCAATAGAGTTTTTAATCTCCTGGATATCTGTTTGAATCTGTTTTATGGATTCCATTTCTTTCCTCTGTTGGGCATTCATTGTTTCCATTTGTTTCTTTTGCTCGGCCTTCATGGCTTGTGTCATGGTCCTGAGCTCATCTACTTTTTTTTTTTCAGTTTCTGTTCTAGAGTTTTGAATCATGACTTCCATTTTGCTCATCATCTCTATGGTTATCTGGGAAATTATTTCTGTTTTGAATTTTTCTAGAGCCTGATTGATTTGTTTTGTTACTTCCTGTTTTATGGGTTCACGGTGTCCTGCTAGTTCACTATAGGCCTTTTCATCCTCATTTGCCCTACTGTTTGCCATTGGTAAACGGGAAGTCTGTCTTTGTTTCTTGCTTGTTTTCTCATTTTTATTTTTGTTGGGTTGTCCTTGGTTTAATTTCTTGGTTATTACTTAAATATTCCTGATACCATTGCGCTTTAGCTTTTGAGTCTCTAATGACTCATAGTCATTCTCATTTTCATAATATCAGAGAAAACAACTGATTAAATCAATCACAATCCTTTATCCCAATTGATACAGTCAGCACAATAGGATCAAGCACAACTTGTAATTGATCACTTGTGGTAGTCACATAATTTAAACAATGTGAATTAAATTAAAATCAGGAAGCTGCCCAAAATATGTTTGCAGTGAGTACGCTTTTCAATATAGCATCTTTATCATTTAGGATAGGGGCTTAGAGTTAGGACAAGAGGAGTAGATAAGTGAAAGAATTGGAGAAGGTTTCAGGTGAAGGCAGAGGACATAGAATGACCATGTAATCTTTAAGAAACTGTTAAACTCAAAAGGGATAGACAGAGTGCGAGAATAAGGACAAGAATATATCGCCTTAACAGTAATAGGGGCTTACTTTCCCTTGAAACTATTGACCCATGAGTTAGGTAAAATGACAGAAGAAAAGAACATAAAGAAAAAATTATAAAGAAGTCGGAGTTAGGGCAGGAGCAGGAACAGAAGGGGAGATGAGGGATAATATGGTGGAGTAAGAGTTTCAGTTGGAGAAAGAGGACAGAAAAAAGAAAGAATTGCAGAGTGGAATGAGGAAAAGAAAAAAAAAAAGTGAATTTGAAGGGCCTCTTTCAGACTATGTCTCTGCTGTCATAATATACCACGTGCACAGTCATGTGCAGAACCAAGTCCCCTGATCTCAGCTAGCTAATGGCAGATCCTCAGACCGGCCTCAAGCCACAAGGCCCAGATTGTGTCCCCCAACGTGCTAGGGCTGAATTCCACACAGTTCTGCTATAGGTTTCCCCTGCCCTTTCTTTAAAGATGTTCAAAGTGGGGTGCTCAGAAAAATACCCTTTATGACCACCTATGCCTCTGCAGCGTGGGTCCAAGGACTGGCCCAATCAGGAGGTCTGAGAGTGTGGGGGGAGGGTTGAGGAGGATCGGGGTGCCCACCCAGCTACATTTGTGGCTCTGGAGCTATGGTGGCGGCTATCCGTCCCGCAGACTGGGCCCAAGCAGGCCAGAGGGAGAGCAGATCTCGGAGTGGTCTTCCGAAATCCCTTTCCTCACTGGGGCTGGTGGTGTGCAGGCAGGCCCTATAGTTTTAAAGAGTTGGAACAAAATAACTGTAAAATAAAGCAAAGATAAGAGAATGTTTCCTACAAACGATATATTGATTTGTTTAGAAAAAGCTTGTTATAGTCACAGGCTCAACAATAGAAATAACTACATACTACCCAAATAAAATTTAACAAAAATAGCTAGTAATAAAATTTACACAAGGGCCAGGGATTTAGCTCAGTGGTTCTGGCGCCTTTCTCACAAGCGAGTTACACAAATGTGGTCTGTCTCTCTTATTGTACTTTACAAACACTGGTGTTGAAATGAAAGGATGCAGTTCCTGTGGGATGAGACCTGGTGAAGTGAATGGTGTAGGCATTGCATCACAGCATTAGAGTCCTGTTGGCCTTCTGACACTATCTCTGAAGGGAGGATCATTTGTGTCTGGTGCTCCTGGATCATGGAAACGTAACAGTGTCAGGGGCAGAAAATGTCCGTGGTTGAGGATCCTCAGTACTATGTGTTTGGTTTTGTTTTGGTGATTGTTTTTCAGAGGCCTTGTTGAAGAACATTGTAATCAGAAGCTGCTGTCCCTTTTAACTTATCAAAGTATTGCTGCAAAGTTATAACCTTTGGTGACCGCAGAGGCGACTTTAGTGCCATGTTCTAACCAAAGATTGAACTCCATTATTTTGTCCTCTAAGTCTACAATTTGGGACACCTTGGCAAATTTCACTCATGTCCACATTTCTGGCTGTGTTTCACTTTCTTCTTCCTTTTCCTCAATGTATGACTCATCAGGTTCTTCCAGTTCCGTATTTGTTAACACTTAATGGACTCAAATTACTGTCCTCATTATGAGCATGTTGACAAACCCTACTTCGTCAACTTGTCTTGCTGTGTAAAAGATTTTCCTGACTTTTCCATCAATCCTTTGAGAAGTGTTTAAAATCTTTCGCAACTTCACTCCATAAATTCTTCATGTAGTTTCTGGTTTTATTCCTCCATTGAAGCTTCCATGAATGTTACTGCATTAGCAGTAATAAATGGTTTCAAGCACCACATTATGTGCAGATTAATTGATGTGTATGTCTCAGTTGCTGATTGAGTGTAGTCAAATACTAGACAAATGTCAGTGGCTTTGACAAACTAATGCCCCAGTCAAGGAGCTGAAGCATGAGATTTTATTGGAGGTAAAAATACAATCTCTACATTTTCGTTTTCATAGCAGACAGATTGAGTTTGGCCAGGTGCATTATCCATTACCAATAGGACTTTAAATTCCAACCTTTCTTTTTCCAAGTATTTTTTCTGGGGTGAAGGTTTGGTAGAACCACTACATATGACGACTGTCATCCACGCTTTGTGATCATGTTGGCAGAACTTTTTTTGCGGGGGGATCCTGTGTGTTCTTGTTCTATATACTGTTATTGTCTTTATCATCTGCCCTGGTACCACCATTGCACTCCTATGAATGCTGATTCTTTTTGGCATCTTCCTGAAGGGCTGAGCCTGGTTTCATCACAGTTGAAGACTGTGGCAGCAGCTTCTTCTTTGGCAAATGCAACCTCTGCAGTAATTTTGATAATTTTCCATGCAGATCTATTTCTGAATCTGCACAGCTAGCCTTTACATGCAGTAAATGATTTATCATTGTTTCTTGGCTTTTGGCTAAGATCAAGTGTAGTAAATGTTGTAGTCTTTGGATAGCCCCAGTGCTTTCTAGTGTGACATGTCACCATTAACTGGAACACATTTCTTGGTCCTGTCTTCTACCCCCAGATAATGCCTTTTACATCTTATGCATTTACCATGTTCTAGGCCCGTAACATTTCACATTTTGAGGTACCACAGCAAAAGTTGTACAGATTTCTCTTTCCTTCATAATTTAGAAGATTTGTTCTTACTGTGGATCTTAGCATTATCAACAAAGGATTTTTTTTCTTTTTTAAAAATCTTTCTATAAACTCACAACTTTTACCTTCACAGGAAATATTTATTGCTTCTCTTTAGCATATCAAAAATGCCAACATCACTACTGTTGTGTTCTGGGGCCATTATGAAAAATATTACTTGAACAGAAGCACAGCATTACTGTGACAGAGTGATAACTGAGGCTGGTAGCAAAGGGATGGTTCATGCATGTTCCTGGCAGGATAGAGCAGGATGACACAGATTTCTTCGCATGCAGTTTAAACTTGTGGATTATTTCTGGAATTTTTCATTTAATGTTTTTTTACCATGAAAAGTGAAACCATGGATAAGGTAGGTGAGGTGGAGGGGTAGGTATTTAATATAGGTACTGGGACAGAGAAAATAATGTGAAACTTTTTAAGAGAAAGACTTGTTCTGGAAAATACCAATTTTAAAGACCAGTAAGAATGTTTGATTACAATTATACCTTGATAGCTTTAAATTACTGTTTGAATGTAAGGTATTAGCTCACCTTGTTATTTAATTGTTGCATATTTTATATATAGCACTGAGTGACTGAAATATGTTGGATATTAAAACATACTGAAAATAAATGATAAACGAACATTTCATTTAAAAATTCAATTAAATATGTATGTGTACTTTTAAGCTTGCATCCTCCAGTCTACTCAAAATTGGCCAGGAGACAGATAAAACTACAACACGAAATAGAGAATCTGTTTATTTACTACTAGACATGGTAAGTCTTATTTTAATTTTTATTAGTAATAAAAATGTTTCAGTCATTTCTTAATGTCATTTCTTGGCAAGTTGAAGTGCTTGCTCTTTCGTGTCTTGTGTTCTTTCCTCCCAAGGCATACCATTTTTTCAAAAATTTCTGTAAAAACTTGTATCAGCCTTATTTTACCATTGGGTTAACATCAGAAACAGTAAAATCACAGATAAGCATTTACTATGTAGGGTATTCTTTTATGAGTAGTTTTTCAACCAGTTGGAAAACACTTGGGTCTTATTTTTTCCTAGAGTATCAGTTTCAGTTTTTTCCCAGTAAACTGAGTTTTTTACATTCTTACTCTATTCTGCCTATTTAATATAGTCTGTAGTTCTCCTGCCTTGTCAGTTTGGTCTTCATAGTGTCTGAACCAGCTACACTTGTTTCTTTCTAGCACATGGCTCTTCCTTCATGTGAAAGTCACTTTCCTTCCATATCTGCAGAGATCTGTGTCTGTCCTAATGACTCTACACACCCCATGACTCACGTCCTTTTCAAGTGGTCTTGATTACTCTGGCCTATATGAAAATCTTTTTTGCCCTTTGAACTGTATAGTAAATATGGTTAGTCATATTTAATTTTGCTCTCTAGCTTAGTTTTGAGTCCATGGCTAAGCTTAATGGTAGGGACTACTTTTCAAATATTGCCTTACTCTTTTATGTCTTGTATATTGTTGAGGACAATGAAAGTGCTCATTTTGTTCCTATTGATTTAATTGAAAAGTAACATCTTTTTAAAACATGGTGGCATTTTATATTTTAAGATTTTCAAGTAAATGGAAATAATTTGTTTTCTGTTTCTAATAAGATAGAAATTATGGGTTTCTACTTTTCAGTAAATATTTCCATTATAAATGACTTAAATTTGATGCCTTTTTGGAATTTTGCAGATTGTACAGGAATCACCATTCCTGACAATGGATCTTTTGGAATCTTGTTTTCCTTATGTGTTGCTAAGAAATGCATACCATGCTGTCTACAAACAAAGTGTTACATCTTCTGCATAGAGTATCTGCTTATTCAAGACAAGCACGCATTTTTGTTGCCTCGGTTTTATCTGTAAACTGTGGAAATATTTTACCTTAAGGCCTGAAAAACAATTTTTGTGGATTATAAATTTCATATGGTTGTATTTTCTGATCATTGGTTTCTTAATATGGTTGTACAACAACATATTTGGTTGATTTAGGTTGCACATTCACTGAATTCACTGATTATTCCTATAATTTTAGAGTATCATTTGTTTGAAAAACATGTTTTTGATATTTGATGCTGAAAAACTTTGCCTGTTTATTTCTGATGCCTGTTTATTTCTGAAAAAGAACTGTATTTAGTGATTATTTTAGATAGTGATATTATAGCATTCATCTGTGTGTAAATTATTTCATATAGGGAAGAGTTCTGATCTGTACCTATGATTCTTACTGAAAACAAACTTGGATGTGCATTTCTGTGATGTTATGAATACATTTCTACTTTATTTTGAAACATTTGCCAAACTAAATAACACTGTATAACATTAAAAATGTTAAAGACTGCTTGGCACTAGAAGCAGAACATGTCCCGAAATTGTAACAGCAGCATATATTGTTGCTTGTATAAAACTTAGTGATAATTTTTAGACTAACATCCATGGTGCCTGTTGGCATTAGCACTACCATTGTATCCTGCTGTATAATAAACAATCTTAGACATTTATCAACTGTTGATACAAATGTTAGTCCCTAACCACTTTTTATATGTTTTAAATTTTTGAAATTCAAGTGTACCTGCCATAACATAAAATAAACACTAGACTATATCACATCTTGATTGATTTCTTTAATGAAGATCTTTGAAGAGTTTCACTCAACAATGTGAAAGTTTATTTCTTTTTTTCTTCTTTTTTAATCCAGGGTCTTGATATGTAGTCCAGGATAGTCTTGAACTCACGGTCCGTCTCTCTCCACCTCCCCAGAGCCTGGGATTGTAGATGCTTGCCATTGTGACAAACTGCAAGTTTTAGTTTAAATTTGGTTTAAAATAAACTTGGTTTAGGAATATCTAAGTACAACATTTGATACGAGGTCAACTATTATAAGTCTTACTTAAATGTCTTGAAAAATAGTCCACTGGAATAAATCTTAAATATAGAAAATAAAATTACATAACATTGTTTAAAGATTTTGAAGTAAGGGCTGGGGATTTAGCTCAGTGGTTCTGCTGCCTGCCTCGTAAGCGCAAGGACCTGAGTTCAATCCCCTGTACAAAAAGAAAAAAGATTATGAAGTAAAAGACAACTTGTATGCCATCACCTTGCTAATTATATATGTATTGCCAAATGGAATATTTAAAAGAATGTGAGAAATGGAATGAACATAGAACCTAGTGCAAATATTGATGGTTGCCACATCAGTGAGCAATGAATAGAATATGTGTGAAGGGCCTCTGCCTGCTGACTGTTGTGAAGGATAAAGCAGCTCATGTAGTGTGAAAACTAGATGAATGTTGTGCTCTCTGATGCCAGTGTGAAGATTGCTTCCTACACAGACGTGCCGGCTATGTTAACTGCTGTGAAGTCAGTTACAATGTTCTTTCTTCAGAGTGGAATGAAATCAAGGTGCCACAGGACCAGACTGCTGTGTTGTATATAATCTGTCAAGTTTATATTTAAAGAAGAGAACAACTGTCACTGTTTGGAAAGTTGTATTAGTTCCATAAGGAATGTTGTTTTGTTTTGTTACTGGGGATTGAACTTGGGACCTTATGATTGCGAGGCAGGCAGCGGAACCACTGAGCTAAAACCCTGGCCCCATAAGTAAATTTTTTAAGGGAGACTTTTTTTACATAGACTATTTTCAGATGTAATATAATCATTTTTAAGATTTAAGCTTTTTTCCTTCAAAATATTAGGATCCCAAAGTGATAATAAGTTTATTGGCAGGGCTATCTAGAGAGATAAAGTAGGCATTTGAATATGTACACTTTGGAATATGTAGGAGATGGGTTGGGGATTTAGCTCATTGGCACCTTGCCTGCCTCACAAGCACAAGGTCCTGAGTTTGATCCTCCATATACCCACCCAAAAAAATATGTGGGAGAGCAGAAGGATATAAATAAGCCACATTTTGCCACTATTAGGCCAAGAAAAAAAATCACTTTTACAAAGTCATCTGGAATTTTTCTTGTCCAGATTTTTTAGTTTCATAAAGCAAAACATATTTACTGTTTAGGTATTCTATTCTGTTTTTGTTTTGGTACCAGGACTTGAACTCAGGCTCTTGCAGTTGCAAGGCAGGCGGCGGAACCACTGAGCTAAATCCCCAAGTCCTATTTTATTCTGTTTTATTGTTTTTTCTATACCCCCAGATATATCCCATCCCCAGATAAAGAGCAATGATAACTTATCAGAAAAAGTTAATTGTAAGTAAATTGACAACCATTGTGTTTAACATCTTATTCTAATCTTTGTTATTTTCTTCTGAACATATACTGTATCATACTGTTTAGTTTTTTTTCCTACAGTAATATGATCTTCAGTAAGTAACCTATAATAGGCTTATTTTACTCAGAAGCAAAATGTCTTTAATGTTCTTTGTAATGCCTGTATATATGCTGTAACTAATAAGTTTATTTAGAGAGACATTTAGGTAATTCTTGTTTTTCATTATTATTAATATCTTGTGTCTATATCTTGGTGAACTTGTTATTTCCTTAGGGCATTTCTGAGAAGTAAAATTACTTGATTTCTGCCATATTCCTATTCTTTCAGCAGATATTTTTTAATGCCTGGATATAATGGTGAGAAAAATAGAGAAGTCCCCCCATTCACAGATGAGTTTGCATTTTAGTGATGGTAGAAAATAAAGGACCATTTTGTGTTAGTGATGGGCAGTAATACAGCGTGCTACACTGGGCGACTGCAGTAAGCAGGCCACTTGCAAACATGTCATTGGGAAACCTCTGTTAAGACAAAACATTTAAGCTGACACATAAAGGAGGAGCATGAACTAGAAATGAACAGAGGGAGGAACAGTGATGGGAAAGGCTCAACAGGCAAGCGCAAACTTGCCCAGGTGTATGAAGCTGGAAAGAAGTGTACCAGTTAGTGTCTGTACATAAAGAGTGCCCGTGGCCCCTCTAGGTGCCTCTCATTTCACCAGTTAGTACTTTTCCTTTTCTTTTCTGGCAACCTTCTCTTTTTCTTTGCTGATATAGTCAGAGTTCTCAGATCCAATCTTAACACGTTGGTTAATAAACAAACATAAATTCATTGGTATGCTATGGCATTCATATGAAAGTAGTAAAGCTTATTGTATACCATCAGGCCTTCTAAACTAAGCCCAGATTCTATCAGGCAATGAATTTTAACTTTCCAGTTGATGTAATGGGTAATCATGCCGTACTATTAGAGTGATTCAACTTAGTGAGATTTCAGCTATGTCATTTGTAAGACTCTTTTGAATATTTGTTAAAATAATAACTCATGTATTTTTTTCCAAACACTTCTTATAGCCACTGAAGTGACAACATGAACCATTTATTCATTTAATAGCCTTAGCCTGAACTTACAGTCAAAATGCCCTTGTTTTCTTAACATTTGCCACAATCTCTGCCTTTGGAGGGAAAAATTTATTTCAAAGTTTGAATTTTTTCTTGTTACTTGGTGTTGAATTGAGAAGAAAATTAAGTAGCTATGACTCTCATTTGGTGTTATTTTAGAGTGGAAAGTAACTTTACAGATGGTAACATTCCATTCATTCTTGTATGAATTGAACTTTGCGTACATATTGCCATCATTAATTTAAAGTCCAGTTCAATCATGTCCATCTATGGAATGTTTCATTTATAAGACAAGTTCTCAGTCTCTCATTCTAGCCTAAAAATTACAAAATAGAATAAATTAGCAGTCTGAAGTTTAGAGTCCAGCCGCAGAGGACCATGCTCATTTGTGGTATAAATATGCACCTGTTCTCCCCTTCACCTTCTTTAACCTGAGGACATGAGTGGATGTGGTCGACCTGTGGCGTGAGGTTCACAGGCCTGGCAAGCAGATGACCTGGAGGGGGAGCGGGCTGTCCTGGGAATGAGGCGTGTGGCTGTGTCACATGCATAGTGCACCTAAAGACACACATTGACCAAATGCTTGATGGCCGTGGCTTCAAATTAGTATTTAGCCAAAGCTTAAACTAAAGATTATCATGGGGTAAGTTGTAAGAAAATATAAATAACACTTTGCTAAAAAACAATAATAAATAAATAACATTTTGCTAGTGTGAGGAAAACAGTGCCCAATCTTGTCAGTGTAATGTTTATTCTAGGTTCCTTTTATATCCATTCTTCCTTCTTTGAAAGTTGATAAAATCTGTTGGCAACCTCATTGAAACTGCAAAGCAGATCCTCAAAACAGTTTGCATACTGTTCAGTACAAATGGTTACAGGAACCAACCTTGAAAACTGGTGTATCTTTTTGCTTCATATCTTTAACTCAATTTTTCTGAAGTCCATTGTAAAATTTAAATTACTTACTGATTTTTGCAACCTTATTTTAAATTCTCCAAGCCAAATACATGTCAATAAAAATGACTTAATGTTTAATTTGTAACATTAAAAATACTTGAATAAGGGCTGGAGATGTAGCTCAGTGGTTCCAGTGCCTGCCTTGAAAGCTGAAGGACCTGAGTTCAATCCCCAGTACCACAAAAAAATAAAATAAATACCAAAAGTTTATTAGCTTCATTAAAAAGACATGAATAAGGGCTGGGGATTTAGCTCAGTGGTTCCGCTGCCTGCCTCATAAGCACAAGGTCCCGAGTTCAGTCTCTGATACCAAAAAAAAAAAAAAAGTAATAGTACACGAATAAATAATGAAACTTTATTCAAAACTTAAAGTGGGACATTAATTGTTTTTAAAATTCAGAACAGTACAGAATCAATTTCTTGGCATTGTCAGTTTCTCAGTTGCTCTCAAAACCATTAGGCCATTTATTTCAGATATTAAATATTTTCAAATATGGAGTGGGAAATGGGGAGCAACTCATGATGAAGTTGCTACCAAATTAAGTTTACTTTTGTTTTTTTGGTACCGGGGATTGAACTCAGGCCCTTGAGCTTGAAAGGCAGGCAGCAGAACCACTAAGCTAAATCCCCGGCTGTTAAGCTTACTTTTTAAAGTAAGTGCATTTCCCCTTTACCACTCGGATTTGCAGATATATGGTCAGTGGTAATAAAATTTTGTCAAAACATTATCACCCACTTTGTTCATTACTTGATATTTTTGAAACCTAAGGTAGTTCCCCTTTTTAAAAAATTCTAATTTTTGTGTACATTTACTGCATTGCACAATTATTTGAAAAAAAGTTGTCCCTAAACCCTGTATTATAGTCTTAGTTTTTATATATCTCCCCAAAATTCACATGTTGAAGTTAAATCACCAGCATGGTGGCACTCTAAGGTGGAGATTTAGGAGGTGATTAAGTCATAGGGGTGTGGAGCGCTTGTAAACGGGATTAGGGTTTTTCCAAAAGAGGCTCTTGAGAGGGCTGGGGAATTAGCTTAGTGGCACCATGCCTACCTTGCAAGTGCAAGGTCCTGAGTTCAGTCCCCCATATGGGAAAATAAGTAAAAAGGCTCTTGAGAGTG